ACCGCTCTTCCTGGCCAACTCCACCATGGTGGCCAGCTCCGTTTCCGACAAGCTCCCAGGGGTGAGGCCACCGCCACCAGGAGACATGGAACGAAGAGGACCAGGCCAAAGAGGCAGGACAGGCCATTCAGCACTCCACTGATCGTCACCACCACGCCGAATAGTACCGCAATGCTTACACGCGCTGTGGCCCAACAAGTTCTTCTTGCAACCACAGGTCTCGCAGAGCCATCTGTAGGCCTGGTACCCGTTGTTGTCGCGGTCCGCTGGCGCCCTCTCGTGCTGACGCCACGGTGCACCCAGTCGCCATGCCGCCTGCTTGGTGGACTGCCAGCGAGACTGCTGTCCCCTGCCACTGCTCGGGCGCATGCTGGAGTGAGACCGACTCGTATCGCAAAGCCACTGGCCCGCAACAGCATGTAGCCGTTTCGAAGGCTTGCTGCTGCCAGCGCAAAAACTTGCGCCGAAACGGCTAGGAGGACGAGGAGGAGGAGGAAGAGGAGGAGGAGGAGGAGGAGGAGGACGACGAAAAGGAGCAGGAGGAGGAGGGAGGAGAAGAGAAGGGGAACCGATGCATCCGCACGAGGCTTGGGGCCGACGACGCTCGCCTTGAAATCCGAAGCCGCTAGCACAGCGGTGCGAGCCCGCGCCAACGGAAACAAAAAGCACCATGCTATGGAGCTGCGCATTTCCGCCAGCACCCTTGTAACAGTTGTAACGCCGACGGTCGGCGTTCAAGACCCCCCAATTCGCCACGCCCCCCCTGCGCCATGCGCAAGTCGCACGACGCAAGGAGGAGGAGGAGGAGGGCGAGGAGGGCGAGGAGGAGGAAGACGAACTTACGAATCAGCACAGATGCACAGGAACAAGCGGCCCGCGGGAGCGCTGTCCTGCGACCGTGGCCGAAGTTCCTGGCATCGCGCGCCTCAGGGATTCACGAGCGGAATGAAACAGGGACGCAGAAGACCTGGCAGAAGGGCGTCGATGTAGTCGTCACCGAGGTCGTAGTCGCGAAGGAGGCACTGTCCGAGGATGGGGAAGCGACGCGTTCCAAGGAGAAGGGGCCGCCGCAGAAGATCAGCACCAGTGTCCCAGCGCTCGCGGAACAACCGCATGGCGCCGTGCGAGCTCCCGGACAAATTGGCGAAGCGCCTCAGAAGCTGCTTTCCCCGTGCCCACGGCGCCGTGCCGAACAAGATTAGTTGCTCTGTACACAGCGGCTGTCCGAAGCGCTTTCCGTACAAAGACATCTGGAGCAGCGTCGATCACAGGCGAAGACGTATCCAGCAACAAAAAGCATGACAAACATGCTGCTCATGTACCCGGCCAGCGCAGCCCGAGATTGGCACCAGCGAAGCGCCATACTGCTGGACACGCGGCGTACTGCTGGGCACGCGGCTGGACACTGCCTGCGATCGCGTTGTTGCGAATCCTTCAGAAAACCATTGGCTTTTCAACAGTTCCATCAAAGGCTACAAATGGTACCTCTTGTGCGCGCATGTCGAGATCGTTCGAACACCCTATGGGCGCGTGGTGTGGCAAGAGACCCTTGTTTTCCAAAACAACCAGACGAAATCGCATGCGCACGCGTCGTCGCGCGCGCCGAAAACGCTCAAAAAGTGGGCGTGCCGTAACAATATGTATCATCCAAAAGACAGATGGCCATGGAAGAACGCACGGTGTGCAACATCACTTGTCAAAAAAAGCTTGCGCGCGCTCGTGCGACTTGTTGAGAAAACCATGTCGGAATCATTGGAAATCATACGAACGTCCTTGCGCGTGCGCCGTGGGGGGTTGGGGCACGATCCCCATCAAGTAACACAATGCGGGTCACTCGCGCGCGTCGGCCGCGCGCGCATGTCGAACTCCGTCCAAAACCTATGTTATCACCGACGCGAGGACACTTGGCGTAATCAGCATCGGCGCCGTCATTGGCCTTGCCGTCTTCATCGTCATGATCGTCACCATCATCGCTGCTATCATCACCGCACCCGCCCCACTCACCGACTCACACCGAAGCGCCCGCTGGAAGTTCACAGCGGTCCGCGCCACCGCCGCGGCCGCGTCGGTCGCGCCAAACTAGCTGGCCGCTGTGCGCGCGAGCATGCGCGGGCTAGCGCGGCCACAGAGATGCACCAGCCAACACCAAGCTCGCATCGCAATCGCCGCCGCACGGGTTTTTGCAAACGCAGTTGCGGGTGGGCGGGTGGGATGATTGCGCGAGCAGTGGAGTTGACAACTCCAAGCTTCCCAACATCAATTGCACCACATCGATTGCAGCACCTAGATTGCACCACATAGACTGCAGAACATACGTTGCACAACCACATGCATTGCACCATATGGGTTGCACCACCTAGATCGCAGAACATAGTTTGCACAACCCCACAGATCGCACAACCAATATTGCACAACATCGATTCCACCACATTTATTGCGCCGCAAAAGCTGCACTGCACAGATGGCCCCACATAGACTACCCCACATACATTACAGCACGAGTGCACGACTTGGCTTTCGTGCCTGAGGCGCGCTTGTTGATCACTTACAACATATACTGTCCTGCAGATGCTGCACAACATAGATTACACGACACACCTTGCACAACACATATTGAACAGCATAGGTTGCACCACAAAAATTGCACAAGATATGTTGCACAATCACATGGATCTCACAACCTATATTGCACAGCATCGATTGCACCACATTGATTGCACAGCAGAGATTGCAGTGCATAGATGGCACTACATAGGTTGCCCCACATAGAGTGCATCACCTAGATCGCACGATGTTGTCGGTCGCGCCTGCGGCGCGCTTATGAGCGCTCACAACATAGATTGCACCACATACATTGCACAGCATGCATTGCATCACATATAGCACATCATAGATCGTGAGCGTTTTCTTATTCGGCGTTTCGACATTGGGCGGAAGAGGGGGGGAGGGAGGGGTCTGGCTCCGGGCCTCTGTCGCATGCGGCTGTTTATAGCAGTGCGTCCTATGGGGGCAGACTCCACCTGCTCGGAGCAGGCGCCAAAAACAGCCCAGATCTACTCCATGGGTGGGGGGGGAAGGGGGGGGTGCGAGGGCCCACGCCGACTGAGTGAGAAAACAAGCACATTGTTGAACATAGCTTGCACTACATATATTGCACAGCAGAGATTGCACGCATAAATTGCACAACACAATTTGCACAACCTAGATGACTAAAAACACACTGTTTGGGTTCCACGCTGGGTAACGTTTGCAACTGCTTCGAGGATGGAGGGCGGCTGATTTCTAACACGTGGCTCTCGCTTCAACGCCGCGCACATTCGCATTAGGTAAGCTTTTTTTAGCAGTTTCAAGGATTCGCGCGGTTGAAGTCCCTGGAACGGTGTTCCGAATCGATTGAGGATTGTCAGGACATACCAGCCACATCCATTCGCTGCATTCACGTCCAAGAAACTGCGTTGAGGCACGGTTGAGGATTATCAGACGGTTGTCGTTCAATGGTGCCCTTCCTGCAATGAAAAACGTGTAGGGACCTACGAAGAGGGAACTTGGGAAGGCTCATTGCAGCATCGTTCATGCGTCTTGGGTTTACACTGGTGCTCATCCTTCTCCACCCGCCCCCTCTTCTTCCTCCTCCTGCTCCTCCTCCTCCTCCTCCTCCTCCTCCTCCTCCTCCTCCTCCTCCTCTTCCTCCGTAGCCATTTTGGCTCAAGCCATTTGGCTCAAGGTTTTGATTCCCTCGGGGTCAGAAACGGAGACCTCTGATCCGAGGACAGCTTTCAGCAAGTGCGGCCTGTTCGCCCAGGTCAGGACCGCCCGACACCCAGGTCGGGCCGCTTTTGCGAGCTCCAGCAGGAGCCCCTCTCGAGCGAGACGGCGCCACCATGCCGAGGCGCCAGACGTACACGGTCTGCAGCGGCTGCAGCAACTGGGTGTACGACTGGAAGCTGCAGCGTTCGGGAGGCTGGTGCAACAACTGCAACGACTACCTCAGCGGGTGGAGCGAGCAGCCGCCGTCTGCGGGCCGCAGCCAGCGAGGGGCTGGCAAACCCCCGTGGGCAAAGCAGCCCGTCACGTCGCCCGCGGACGAGGTGCAACACATTATTAACAAGTTCCAGCTGGGGAAGGGCGCCTACGCCACAGCCAAGGCCACGGTCGACCTTGGCCCGCTGCAGGCGCTCCAGGCTCAGCTCACTGCCAAGGCGCCGACGCCCGCGGAGATCCCGAAGGCTAAGGCGCTCAGGCAGGCGATCAGCAACATGGACCAGAAGAAGGTGGCGCTGGCGAAGGCGACGAGCCAACTCGTGGAGGCGGAGCGCTGGCTCGGCGTCGCCACGGAGAGGCACAACAAGGCGCTGGAGGAGGCAGCGGACGCGGAGGAGGAGCACGAGGCCATCCTACGGGCGTACTCCAGCGAGGCCATCCCCTCGCTGGACGAAGCAACGGCTACGGAGTGGAAGGCGCCCGAGGTGGACCCCACGCTCTTCGACAACCTGGACGACTACGAGCCTGAGGATAAGAACAAGCTACTCAAGTTCAGGTCGGATCTGTCGTCCCTCTCGCAGCTGCTGGAGAGCGCCCAGAAGCAGTACACGGAGTTCACGGAGCTTAAGAAGCAGGCGGACGCCATCCACGCTTCCCACAAGGCGAAGAAGCGGAAGGCGAACACAGGCGAAGAGGCACCAGCAGCTGCACCTCCACCAGCAGCCGATGGCGGCCCCAGTGCAACCGCTGGCTCTGCGGCGGTCAAGCAACCGTCAGAGGAAGAGGTGCAGCAGCGCAAGGACAGACTGGAGAGGCTCCGGAACGACGCGAAGGTCAAGGCGAACCCGAAGCAGGAGCCTGCTCAAGCTGAAGGCGCTGCTGCTGCTGGTGGCCATCGCCTTTAGCAAGGTGTTCTTCTCGAACATCACGCAATGGGGCCCCAAGGCCCACAAGTTCATCAACGAGCAGGGCAACGACATGGACATCATCATGATGTGCGAGACGCATCTGGCGCAGGATCAGATGAAGCAGGTGAAGGTGGACGTGGCTAAGGACGGCTGGAAGTCGGCGGGCACAGCGGCGGTGCCCACGAAGCGCTCGGCGGACGGGACCTCGGGCGGTGAGCTTATCCTGGTCAAGTCCCACATCGCCTGCTCCACCTACGACACCATCAGAGAGAGGCTGCAGAACGACGGGAAGAAGGACCCCTTCTACGGCTTCACGGCGGTGAATCTCCACACCAAGGCGGGCAACGTGGTCTTGGTCTCAGCATACTGGCTACCAGGAGCTGGTCTTCACGGACCCAATCGAGAGAGGGTCCGAGCGCTGGCAGGATTCGTGAAGGCGCTGGCGGACCCGTGGGTGGTCCTGGCGGACTGGAACGTCACCTTCGCGGACATCGCCAAGACGGGCTACGTGCAGCAGATCGGCGGAGCGCTGGTCAAGCCAGACGTGGAGGTCACCTGCGACAAGGGGAAGGGCAGCCTGATCGACTACGGCATCGCTAGGAAGGACTTCGCGCACAAGGTCAAGCTGGAGGCAGTCCGCACGGTGCCTTGGCGAACACATTGCGGACTGACGCTCACGCTGGAAGGTTCGGCGACGTCGTGGTGGCATCGCAAGATGCAGTTACCGAAGGAGCTGGCGACACCGTCGCGACCGAAGAAGAAGGCGGATCCGCACAGCAAAAGGACCCGCAAACGACAGGAAGAACGGCAGCGAGCAGAGGAGCGACTTGAGCCACACCTTCGGGAAGCATTTCAGGAGCAGGCCACGATCGAGGAAGCGGAGTCTGAGAAGAAGGTTAAGGACTTCTACATCACAGATGAGACTTGGACGGCGGCGGTGGCGACGGCGAGCTTATCAGGTTCGAGCTCACCACCTTCGGCGTCCCAGATATTTCTCTTCGGGGGCAGCCAGGGCCGCACCGCACCTCCAGCCTCCAGCGCGTGGCCGCTCTTCGTGAGCGTTGAGCCGCCTGAGGTTGTCGGCCCTCCAAGCATGGAGGATAATGGGGTGCTGGCGTTCCCTGCTGCTTGGCCCGCCGCATCTCAGAGGGCTTCAAGCTGTATGGCCGCGGCCTCCCACGGGGAGAGCAGCGGTACCAGATCGAGTACGGCGACTACGTGCAAGGGCCCCGAGGCCATGGGAAGGCCGCCGAGGGAGGAGGACCATGACACGCCCGAGGCCATCTTCTTCGAGGGCCTCCAGTCGGCGGCTTCGCGGTGGATCCCGTGGTTGGAGGCACCTGACGCAGGAGAAGACAGCTGGCTCCAGGAGTGCGTCCCAGCTACGGTGGCTCTCCTCCAGCGCCCAGAGCACGCCCACTGGGTCCCCGAGGCCCTCGAAGGCCAAACGATCCAGGATTTGGCGGAGGACATGTGCAGGGAGGCCTGGGAGGAAGGCCGCCAGAATCGTTTGGGCATCATCGGCTACATGGAGTGGCTACGCCGTCAACAAGCTGAAGGACTTTTGGTACAAGAGGAAGCTCGACATTGGCGGGAGTACCAACGTATACGTGAAGAGTTTCGCAGACTACGAGGACGCCGAGGTGCAGCACGCAGAGGTGCGAGTTGGTGCCTGTCGCAGGAGCTCCAGTCTTGGGACGACAAGCTCATCATCCGCGACGCCAGGCATCGCGATGCAGAGGCAGCAGCGACGAGGATGTACGGCGACTGGGTCACCTGTCTGGAGGAGGCGGCGATCGTGACGGATGAGATCGACGAGGAGGAGGCCGAGTACTACCGAGGACGGGCTTCGGGCTTCGAGGTCAAGTGGGTCAAGGCGCGTTCGACACCAGGTCGCACCCACATGAAGTTCGGGCCAGCGGAGCAGTGGGGCATCCTCAACGCCATCCTCATTAGGTACCAGGCGCTGTACACCAACGGCACCGACGGCAGGCAGCAGGCAAAGTGCTTGGCGGAGGCAAAGGCGCAGGGCAAGGTGTTGCAGCAGATGGATCAGAACCAGGTCTTCGGCAGGAAGCTCGGCACCACACAGCAGCAGAGGTTCTACGATATACTGGGCGACTTGTCGGACTTGGATGAGGGGCAGCTCGGCAACTTAGTCACGCAGGCAGAGGGCCACCTCGCCACTGCGCAGGCGCGAGGCTTTACGGCGCAGCAGAAGAACTTCACGGCGTGGGCAAAGAAGGCATGGGCAGGCAAAGTCGGCCTCCTCCATCGGCATGTGAAGGAGCAGCAGGCGCCGAGGTTCGAGCTGTGCACGGAGGAGATGGAGGGCATTGCGGACCCAGACGCCCTCCTTGGCATCAGGAAGCACGAGTGGGAGCGCATATGGACGGACCCAGTGGACACGAAGGAGGACATCGCGTACCAGCTGGGCAGGCTGCGCGATCAGTCCTGGGAGCACGTGCTGGAGCCCCTCACGCTGGAGCAGCTCGACGGGGCCATTTCTGTGTCGTCGTCGGCCAAAGCAAAAGGAGTTGATCATCTTGGTCCGCACGATCTGGCTCGGGCTCCCAGGCAGGCAAGAATATGGTTAGTTCACATCTTACAGTATTGCGAGCAGGAGGTCACATGGCCGAGGCAATGGGCAGCCACCAAGTGCGCGCTGGCGGCCAAGCCCAAAGGAGGAGATCGAGTACTCGGTATGCTGGCCCTTCCCATCAAGCTCTGGTCAAGGGCTCGGGGAGGTTGCTGCTCAGAATGGAGTGATGCGTTATCGGCCCATTGGGACACAGCCCTCAAAGGCAGCTCAGCCCTCCGTGCGGGGCTCCTCAGGGCGTGCCTGGACGAAGTGGGGGCAGAGCTCGGGGCATCGGCGATGACGCTACTGTTGGACATCGAGAAGTTCTACGACACAGTCTCGCTCGTCATCCTGTCCCAGATCGCCCTCAGAGTGGGCTTCCCCGCAGTGGTGGTGGCGTTAGAGATCACCGCGTTCGTGGGCCCCAGGTACCTGCAGGAGCGCAACATTCTCAGCGAGGCGATCTGGTCCACGAGGTCTTTGGTAGCCGGCTCTGCCAGAGGCGTGGGATTGGCGAAGCTGTTCTTGCACCCGATATTAGATAGGGCGCATCGGAGGGCGCCGCAAGCTTCGCTGTGGACATTCGTGGATGACACGGTGGCGAGGCAAGAAGGTAGCAGGCAAACAGTCGGCGATGGCATCATCCAGGTCACGGAGATCATCACGGACGGCCTCAAGGAGCAGAGGATGAAGATCTCCAGCAAGTCGGTCCTGATAGGCACCCACCCGAAGGACGTGAAGCGGACGGCTAAGACCATGAGGAAGAGGCAGATCCCCGTCTACGCAGTCACGGAGGCAGTGGACCTAGGCCTGGATTCGTCGGCTGGGAGGAAAAGGGTTACGACGAAAGCGAAGCAGCGTGCCAAGCGCGCGAAGCACAGGTTCGCCAAGATTGTGAGGCTGCGACGTACCGCGGCCTTGGCCAAAGAAAGTAAAGGTTTATGGATTGCTGGAGCAGTACCACAGGCAGTGTACGGTCACCAAGCTTTCGGGTTCGCAGTTCATGAGCTTCAACGGCTACGACGACAAGCTGGACAGGTGGCAGGAGGTAAGGCGCGTGGGCGGTGCTTGACGACGACACTGGCGGTCGAGTTGTGGAAGGGCGACCCAGGGGTGGCAATACGAGTTGCCGTAGTCAAGGAGTGGATCAACCTGTGGCAGCGCTACCCCGAGAACCACGCCAGGATCGTCAAGGCATGGCCGCGGATCTTCGACCGTCTGTCAAAGCTTGGGCCAAAACGCTGGAGAGGAGTTCGCGGACCAGTCGGAGCGGTGCAGGCGACCATCATGGACGTGGGCTGGTACGCACCAACGGCGACGGTGTGGATGCGACCAGTCGGAGCAGATGAAGATCCAGCAGAACAGTGGGACATCCCGTCCGTTATGGACGGCACTTTCGACAACACGGGGTGCTTCCAGCAGCTGATAGACGACTTCGAGGAGGACATCGTAGCTCAATACTGGAAGGCTGCAGCAGCACACCCACATGGTGAAGGTTTGGAAGATGGAGCAGATGTTTGGCAGATCCGCGCAGAGCAGCGAAGGTTCGAGAAGCAGGGGCAGCTGGACATGGTGGGGGCCAACATCGCCGTGGTCGCGGGAGGACAGTGGCCGAAGCAGCGATCCGTCGACCAAGGCTACCTCCTGGACTGCAAGAAGTGCGACAGATGCAAGGAGGAGGACGAGACCCTGATGCATCGGATCTGGCTATGCCCAAAGAACGTGGACCACGAGGACTTCACCAAGTCGGCGCCCCTGCTGCCGGCTGCGATGGCGCAAGCAGAAGCTGAGCCTGCGCTGTGGCTTCGAGGACTGCCGCCAGCCTCTCTCACGCACCCTAGGTTTAATGATGAACTTTTAGAGGGGAGGGAGGTTCGGTTTGGTGAGCTGGGGGACTGGGAGGAGTGCCAGCACGAAGGAGAGATCCACATTTTCGGTGACGGCTCAGGAGGCAAGCACTCCTCGGACCCTCGCCGACGCCGCTGTGGATCAGCGATTGTAGCATTGCAGGAGCGCGACGGGGAGTGGATTGTGGGTCGAGCCGTAGCAGTCCCACTCCTCGGTCGCAGGCAAACGGTCCCCCGCTCTGAAATTTTAGCGTTCGGATTGGCGCTCGAAGAGTGCCACGCAGATTTTACTTTCATTACCGACCACAGGTTGATCGCGAAAACCTGGAAGTACCGCCTGGAGCACCCGAAAGCCACGGGTCCCAACGAGGACCTTTGGACCCGAGCCAGAGTTGCCTGGCAGACACACCCAGACAGAGTAGTGAAGGTAGTGTGGACGGCGTCCCATCTGGATGAGACGCCAGAGCTGCTTGAATCGCCGCAGCAGCTGTTCATGGCAGCAGGGAATTTAGCAGCTGACGTCTGGGCGGGAGTCGGGGCGGAGCTGGCTTGGGAGTTCGGGCTGGTGGGGAGGGTTCCAGAGACTGATAGGATAGACTCGATCGCACATCTCGTGCGGAAACGAGCGCGCAGATCTTTGCTACTTGCCGCTGCGTCGGAGACGTCAGAGCGCGCAGGTAGAGCCCCAGCCAGTAAGAGACTTTCAAAGCAGGAGAGACTGATTCGAGATTCTCCCCATCAGCTAGAGCGAGTAGGAAGCAAATGGAGGTGCTCTCAGTGCGATGTGATTGTGACTGGAGCCAGGTTTTTGCGTTTTTCGGTTTCCCCGTGTGCTGGGCCCCCTGGTAAAAGCAGGTCGGAGGTCCCTGAGTTCCAGCCGATAAACGGAGTGGACCTCGAGATCCACGAATCCCACTCGATCACCAGGGTCGACCGTTGGTTCTTGCAGATCTGTTCGGTCTGCGGGATGTATGCGACTGTGGACTCGAGGTCCTTGCGTCAGAAGTGTAGAGGTCTCACACCGAACGGTGCCGAGAATATCCGACGAATTGAATTAGGCCTTTTTCCTCGGCGTGAGGGGCCCCCCAGAGCCATCAAGATGGCCATAGCTCGCAGAGATGAGAGTCGTGTCGTGTCGGCCCACGAGGCCAGGGGGTCGCAGGAGAACATCGAGCTTGCGGGGGGCCCCGCCGAGCCTCCCGTGGTGACCCGCGCCCGCAACGACGGGCACGAGCGGGAGCAGCTGCGTCGTGTAGCCAAGGAGTTGCGCACGCAGGCAAAGGTTCAGAGATTGTTGGCAGCAGCGAGAGGTACGACTGTGCATGTGCGGGCGCCGCGGGAGGATTCAGGGTCTTCCGATTGACGGCAGATGCCCGTAAGCCAGGACGAAGACTGAGGGACAGAGGTCCGAGAGCAAAGAGGTCAAAGAGGTCCTCCTCCTCTTCCTCCTCCTTCAACTCCTCCTGCCCCCTCCTCCTGCCCCCTCCTCCTGCCCCCTCCTCCTCCTCCTCCTCCCTCCTCCTCCTCCCTCCTCCTCCTCCTCCTCCTCCTCCTCCTCCTCCTCCTCGAGGCCAGCGAAGCCGCCAGCCTCCGCGGGCCAACCCGCCGCCCCTCCACTGAGGAGCAGTCAGCCGTCGGTCCTTCGAGGGCGAGGCCCCTCCTGGAACTTCAGGTGACCCAAGAGGGGATCCAGCTGCAAAAGGGTGGTGCAATAGATCTGAAAGAATTGTCCTGCAAATGCATGCGCCAGAGAATCGCATTGCATTGCATTGTATTGCAAGTGACGTGCCGCACGCGAAAATCCAGCAATACGCTTGCGCCCCGGAATGTATTGCACGCCCCAAATGTACTGCAACCCCATTAATCTATTGCACCAAATCTATTGCACCACCCCCTTGTTGCTGGACCCCCCTTTTGGGTCAATCCAAGGAACGCCCGGGCCCCGGGCCGGGAGCCCTGCACAGCTCCGCCAGGCAACCGCGGGCGGCGCCGTCACGCCGCCGTCGGTCCAGGCGGCGCCCCGAGCACGGCACCGACACGGCCTCGCAAGAGGGCCCGACACGGCCCCGCTACTACTTGCCCCGGTCGTCGCCTTCTCGCGAGGGGGGCACCCAGTTCTATCCGGCGGGTGCGGCTTTCCACGACCCTGAGATCCTGGCGTTGCCATCCCTCCCCCCCCGGGCGTTTTCGCTCCATGCCCAGACCCCCTCGCGCTGTGAAAAAAACACGACGGGAGATTTTTCGCCATCTTCGGCCTCGGGGGGCCCTTGCCGGCTCTCGGGACCGTCGAGAAACGGCTCAGGATGAAAAACCAGTCCCGGCGAATAGGTCCGGACCTCTGGGGGTCGCGTCCTGAAAAATTAGCCTGACGAAAGACCCAACCATACGTAGTTGTGAATACCGCTCCTGGGGAAAGGGTCCGGACCTCTGGGGGCCGCGTCCTGCAAAAATCATGACGTCGGGGGTCCAGGGGCCCTGGCCCGGCCCCTGAGCAACCCTTGACCGACTCCCATCCCCAGGAGAGCCCAGAATCGCGTCGAAAAAAGTCGGATCGGCGCTCGACATGAATCGGATCGGTGGAAATCGGCAGCCAAATCGAGAGAAGTCGAATCGGCGAAAATCGGCAGGCTAGTAAGGCCTCCACTGCGAAATCGACTCCAAATCGGAATCCGGCATCGAATCGAATCGGAATCGGAATCCGTCGAAATCGATTCGAATCGAATCGGGGGGATCGGAATGAGCCCTGCATCCCCACTGCCGTGGCTTGGCCCCGCTGGCCGACCACCCCCACCAGGGTGGGGATACGTACTGTTCTCCTCTGGACTCGCGGGGCCCGCCCCCACCGGGGGGGGGTGGCGGGGGCCAGGCTGGCCAAGGACGCGCCGCGACCCCCGCCGCCCACGCGCCCGAAGAGGCCCCAAGACGGCTCAAGGCCGCCCCAAGGACGGCCCCAAGACGGCTCAAGCAGGACCAAGTTGTGACGGCCCCAGGACCTCCCCCCAGACAGCCCTGGGCGCCCCGAAAGGTGTCTTCTTGCATAGCCCCCCTATGGTGGCATCGCCGCAAGCGTGCCACGCGGCAGCCAGACAGCCAGCGGCGGCGCAGCTGAAACATCGTGATTGGCACCTCTGGCATTGCATTGAGCATAGCAACAGTATTGATGGACGCTGCCGATCGTAATCGTAATCATCATGGTCGTGATCATGGTCAGCATCATCATCACCACAAACAACATCATCATGATGTCCAGCATCATCTCCGAAATCGTCGTCGTTATCCTAATCGGCGTCATCACCATCACAATCAACAAAAGTGCCGTCATCATCATCATCGTCAGCACCACCACCACAACCAGCGCCAGCATCATCAGAACTGTTATCAACATCATCGCAATTGTCATCGTCGGCATCACATTCACCGCGATCGTTACCACCATCGTCCTCGGTCAAGCTATATTCGTCGACATCACATCGATCCCTCCTCCTGCTTGGAGAGAACAGTCCAAACAACAAAAAATCTCCCACTCCCCGCGTCCTAATCCTGTTCCATTTGCCTCCTCTTCGGGCGCTCGAAATGGGTACGGGAAATATGGGTACGATGCCCAACAGCAAATGTTGTCCAAAACCGGCAGCGGCAGCTGCTGGAAATGCGACATATCGTCTCACACTGACAACCCCCGCGGCAACACCGACCTCGAATCCTGTTCAGATTGGGCAGGAACTGCTGTCGGTCTTCGTCCCCATTCTGCCCGTGCCCATTTCGAACGCACTGAGCTCTGCTTTTTGCAACGTGGCTCCCTGAAGGTCTGGACCCAGAACTGGTGCTTCATCATGCCTGGGCTGTTGTCTGACAGTCCTGGGGCCCAGTGAGGGCCGACGGACCTCGAAGACCGGCACAAACCTTCCATCGTAGTAATTTCACCAACGGGCCCCCGACGCCATGATTTTCCCAACCATCCTGTGGTGTTGGGTCCTCGTTTTGAAGAGACGTCGCCCCGCGTTCCTTCCTCCTCCTCCCTCCTCCTCCTCTTCCTCCCCCCTCCTCCCCCTCCCACACCCATTCTGGCACACCCCTCACACGCTTCGTGGCCCCATAGGGAGCTCCACCGAAGGCCCCAGTGGCTGCGCCCACATGCGGTTCCACCCCCCATTCTGGCACACCCCTCACACGTTTCGTGGCCCCATAGGGAGCTCCACCGAAGGCCCCAGTGGCTGCGCCCGCATGCGGTTCCACCCCCCATTCTGGCACACCCCTCACACGTTTCGTGGCCCCATAGGGAGCTCCACCGAAGGCCCCAGTGGCTGCGCCCGCATGCGGTTCCACCCCCCATTCTGGCACACCCCTCACACGTTTCGTGGCCCCATAGGGAGCTCCACCGAAGGCCCCAGTGGCTGCGCCCGCATGCGGTTCCACCCCCCATTCTGGCACACCCCTCACACGTTTCGTGGCCCCATAGGGAGCTCCACCGAAGGCCCCAGTGGCTGCGCCCGCATGCGGTTCCACCCCCCATTCTGGCACACCCCTCACACGTTTCGTGGCCCCATAGGGAGCTCCACCGAAGGCCCCAGTGGCTGCGCCCGCATGCGGTTCCACCCCCCATTCTGGCACACCCCTCACACGTTTCGTGGCCCCATAGGGAGCTCCACCGAAGGCCCCAGTGGCTGCGCCCGCATGCGGTTCCACCCCCCATTCTGGCACACCCCTCACACGTTTCGTGGCCCCATAGGGAGCTCCACCGAAGGCCCCAGTGGCTGCGCCCGCATGCGGTTCCACCCCCCATTCTGGCACACCCCTCACACGTTTCGTGGCCCCATAGGGAGCTCCACCGAAGGCCCCAGTGGCTGCGCCCGCATGCGGTTCCACCCCCCATTCTGGCACACCCCTCACACGTTTCGTGGCCCCATAGGGAGCTCCACCGAAGGCCCCAGTGGCTGCGCCCGCATGCGGTTCCACCCCCCATTCTGGCACACCCCTCACACGTTTCGTGGCCCCATAGGGAGCTCCACCGAAGGCCCCAGTGGCTGCGCCCGCATGCGGTTCCACCCCCCATTCTGGCACACCCCTCACACGTTTCGTGGCCCCATAGGGAGCTCCACCGAGCGCCCCAGTGGCTGCGCCCGCATGCGGTTCCACCCCCCATTCTCGCACACCCCTCACACGTTTCGTGGCCCCATAGGGAGCTCCACCGAACGCCCCAGTGGCTGCGCTCGCATGCGGTTCCACCCCCCCATTTCGGCACACCCCTCACTCGTTTCGTGGCCCGGGGGCGCCACCGAGGAATATATCCACAATTGCGGTATTCACAACTACGTATGGTTGGGTCTTTCGTCAGGCTAATTTTTCAGGACGCGACCCCCAGAGGTCCGGACCTATTCGCCGGGACTGGTCGCTTTTTGACGGTCCCGAAGGCCGGTAAGGGCCCCCAGAGGCCGAAAATATGGAAAAACCTTCCGTCGTGACTCTGGGCCCATATCATTTCCGTACCCAATTCGATCGTACCGAGTCTCCTCCTTCCCGAGGGCGTCTACGCGGCACGGTCCTCGGATCTGCCGGCAGGTCGTTGGCGTACGTCATTGCACACAGCCTGGAGTGCAGCCCCTGCAGGGTCTGCAGCATGGCTTCCTCGGGAGCGGGTGTCACTAGGATGAGGTGGCGCGGCTCCTCCTTCCTCTCCCCTTCTCCACCCCAATCCTGGACGCCGACTGGCCACCTCACCGACCCAGACTACAGCAAACGGATACGACCTGAAACGTTGCTATAGGAAACATGTGGGATCATTCTTCGTCGATCTCTGAGGGTCCCAAGGCGGCCCAAAACGTCTGTGGGTCCCTGGGGCCATCAGGGGATTCGACATTCCCGTGGAGGACCTGCCGGCAGGAGGTGGGCCGATGTCTCATGGGATCCGCCTGCCGCACGCAGGGCGGTCCTGGGCCCCGGACGGGCTTGGCCAGGATCGGTGAGGTGGTCTGCCGACGATCCCCCCGAATCTCTCTCCTCATCCGACGCAGCGGGGGTGGACCTGAGACCAGGGTTGGGTCGGGCGTGCCACCCCCTCCTCCTCCTCCTTCTGCTCCTCGTCGTCTTCTTAGTATTACTATTCTTGTCCGTATCATTACTCACATTGCTATTATTCGTAGTTTTATGTTTATGAGTATTAGTATAGTGTTCTCAGTGTTCTTCTTATTAGTTTGATTCGTCTTACTGTTCTTCTTATTACTATTCTGAGCAATATTATGAGTAATCTTAATCGCGTTAGAAATCGTATTGGTATGATAAACAGTAGTGGAACTGGTGTTAGCATTATTGTTGTTACTCTTTTTTGAGGGCATGTTCAGTATTAGTATTGTTCCTCCTTCTCCTCTTCCTCCCCCTCATTCTCCTCTGTCCCTCCAACTCCACCTCCTCGTCTACCTCCTCGTCCTCCTAATCATCATCATCATCATCATCATCATCATCATCATCATCATCATCATCATCATCAGCATCATCAGCAGCAGCAGCATCAGCATCATCATCAGCATCAGCATCATCAGTATCATCATCAGCAGCACAGCATTATCATCATCAGCATCACCATCCTCATCCTCATGATCATTCTCATCCTCCTCCTCCTTCTCCACCTCCTCCTCCTCCTTCTCTTCCTCCTCTGTATCCGTATCCTCCTCCTGCTCCTCCTCCTGCTCCTCATCCTCCTCCTCATCCTCTTCTTCATCCTCATCCTCCTCTTTATCCCCCATCTCCTCCGCCTCCACCATCATCATCATCATCATCAGCATCATCATCACCATCATCAACAACATCTCCCATCATCATCATCATCAGCAGCAGCGTCATCAGCATCAGAATCAGCAGCATCAACTTCATCATCATCATCAGCATCATCAGCATCAGCAACAGCAGCAGCATCCTTGTCATCATCCTCATCCTCATCATCATCCCCCTCCTCCTCCTCCTCATCCTGCACCTCCCCCTCCTCCGCCTCCGCCTCCTCCTCCTCCTCCTCCTACTCCTCCTCCTCGTCCTCCAGAGGTTCAGATGCTGTATATTGCTGCTGCTCCCTCCCCTCCGCATCCCCCCCCCCCTCCGCATCCCCCCCCCCCCTCCCCTGCCCATCCAGGTGAGTGCGTCGTCCAGAGCTCAGGAGCCCCCTGGAGTTTCAACGGACACCCGCTTGTCCAGGCGCCCTTGGTTGCCATCCCAAAGGGGATGGAGGTGCGGCCTTCCGACGTGGTCCCGTTCTGCAAGTCGTGTGGGGCATCCGTGTTCCGTCTCGTGCGTTCGTGGGAGGGCCTCGACGGCCCACGTCAAGGGCCCTCGGCCCCTGGCCTGCACCCCCAGAGATCCAGGCTGGGGCTGGCCCCTCCTTGGTGGGCAGGCTGCGAGGATCGGAGACGCGCCGGGTCCGAGCGAGGCGCAGGTGGCTTCCTGGACGCCCAAGCTGGAGTCCCTCCGAGGCGGGGCGGCGGCGGCCGTCGAGATCGACGGAGAGGCGGGACCCGCCCGCGCCCCTCCCCCTCGCCCCGCTCGCCACGGCGTATCCCTTCCTCGCCTCCTTGATCGAGATGTGGCACCGTTGCATGGCTGTGACTATCCCACGGGCGTGGGTTATGTTGCCCAATGGTAGAATACGTCCTCTGCAGAGCTGCAGTGAGCTCTGATTGGTTTCGTTTCGTACCGTACCACACGAGGGGGGCCTGCCCCATATCATTACGCACAATATCATCCTCATCCTCCTCCTCCTCCTCCTCATCCTCCTCATCCTTCTGCTCCTCCTCCTCCTCATCATCATCATCATCATCATCCTCATCATCATCATCATCATCATCATCATCATCATCATCATCATCATCATCATCATCATCATCATCAGCATCATCATCCTCATCCTCCTCACCCTCCTCCTCCTCCTCCTCCGCCTCCTCCTCCTCTTCCTCCTCCGAACCCTCTTCCGCCTTATCTGTCTCCACTCCCCCCGCCTCTACTCCTTCTCCTCCTCCTCGTCCTCCTCTTCCTCCTCTTCCGTCTCGTCATCCTCCTCATCCGCATCCGCCTCCTCCTCTTCCTCATGCTCAGCATGCGTATCTGTCGTATCAATTCCTTCCTTATTCTACGTGCTCCCCCCTTTCGTCTCACCATGCCTCTTCTCCCTCTCCACACCCCCTGCCCAACCTTCCCGCTATCCTCCCTCCACCGACCCGCCCTCTCGGTCTGCCCGTCTCCCTTCGACTCCTCCTCGCCTATCGGTCATCCCCCTCGGACTCCTCGTTCTCCTCCACCATTACCATGGTCGGGACCTTCTCCTCCTCATCAGCATCATCAGCATAATCATCAACAGCAGCATCAACATCAGCATCAGCATCAGCATCAGCATCAGCATCATCAGCATCATCAGCATCATCATGAGCATTATCATCAGCATCAGCATCAGTATCAGCATCATCATCATCATCAGCATCATCATCATCATCATCATCAGCAGCAGCAGCAGCAACAGCAGCATCAGCTTCTTCCTCTTCCTCCACCACCACAATCACTCATCCCTCCCTCCCCCACTCCACCATACCCTGAATACATCCCCTGTCTCCCTCGCACCCTGCCCCATCCTGGTCCCCCCCTCCCTCCTTCGGTCCATCCCCCTCGCCCTCCCTCCCCCCCATACGCTCCCCCTTCTCGTCCGAATCCCAATCCTCCTCCCCCTTCCCACCTCCCTCATTATGTTCCTCTCACGTCCCCCCCCCCGTTCTCTCTCCGTCTCGCCTGTCAGCCTTCCCGTTCCAAGTTTGGCACAAGTGGGCTGGCGTACGGGATGCCTGCGCCACTGACTCTGCCCACGATAGCTATGACCGAGGAATTTCAACTTGAGCCTTCGAAAGGTCCTCATCCCCATGCTCCTCATTACCCCCTCTTCCCCTTCATCCTCATGCTCCGCATGTTCCTCATCCACATCGCAACTCATAGTCCAGCGGAACTCCTGCGTGCTCATCCCGATCGTGGCTGACGCGACAAATGCTGGGATGCCTGGCAAGTGGCAAGTCTACTGCAGAGAAGACGAAGAGATCGAGGGGGAGGAGAAGAAAGACGAGAAATGAGAAGAGCATGATGTGGAGCACGTATAAGGTGCGATAAGGTATAGCCTGAGAGACCTGGGTCAACGTCCTGCGAAATGTGAGCGAACGTTGAGCCAGCACTGCCCTCAAGGACCCAGACATCTGGAGGATCGACTTGTTCGGGACATGCCCCCCCCCCGACTTCCCGGAGGAGGAGAAGGAGGAGAAGGATGAGGAGGAGGGAGGAGGAGGAGGAGGAGGAGAAGAAGAAGAAGAAGACTAAGAAGAAGAAGAAGAAGAAGAAGAAGAAGAAGAAGAACGAGGAGAACGAAGAGGACGAGGAGGAGGAGGCGGAGGAGGCGGAGGAGGAGGAGGGGAAGAAGAACGAGGAGACCCCTTCCCAGGAACCAAATACTCAGCCCGACTCGTTGTTGAAGGACCCTCGGCCCAGAGCCAACCTCCGAAGGCCCAAAATGACCCAAAGCTGGCCGTCTCGTGTTCGCCCACTCGACCGATGTCTGGGCACAGCCTCATGCATACGCACAGGATAACAGGGAATGCCGCCAGTCTCCCTGGATACCTTGGGACAGGCGGAGGGCCAGGCGTTAAGGAAGGCGACGACGGCGACGACGACCACGACGATGACAACGACGACAACGACGACGACGAGGTCGACGGCGACGGCGGCGACGACGGCGGCGACGACAACGGCGACGGCGACGGCGACGGCGACGACGACAGTGACGGCGACGGCGACGGCGACGGCGGCGACGGCGGCGACGACGACGACGACGACGGCGACGACGGCGGCGACGGCGGCGGCGACGGCGACGGCGACGGCGACGGCGACGACGACGGCGACGACGACGACGGCGGCGGCGGCGACCACCGCTGGTGCAGAAGTCGCTGCGGCGGCGACGACGACGACGACGCCAGCGGCAACGCGCGGGGTGCCCTCGTCCAGGTCGCGGTCGGACCGCAGCGAGCCGGCCGCACGCCTGCGGGGGGCAGTGGCGCCGCCGTCGAGGGGGTGGGGGAGGCGGAGGAGGAGGAGGCGGAGGAGGAGGAGGAGGAGGAGGCGGGGGAGGAGAGGAGGAGAAGGAGGAGGAGGAGGAGGAGGAGGAGGAGAAGGAGGAGAGAAGGAGGAAGAGGAGGAGGAGGAGGAGGAGGAGGAGGAGGAGGAGCACCGCCGGCCCATCGAGTCTGGCCAAGAAAGGCGCGGTCGCACTGTAGGGCACGCTGTGCGGTGCGCTGCACCGCGCCAGGAAGGGGGGGGGGGGGGCAAAGGAGGCGACGTGGAGGGTGCAGGGAGCGGGGAGAAAGGGGAGGGCGGCGGCGGGCCGCGGCGACGGTGCGCCGGGACGCAGCTCCTCACTACTCCTCGCTCCTCCTCCTCCTTCCTCCTCCTTCCTCCATCCTCCTCCTTCTTCCTCCTTCCTCCTCCTCCTCTTCCTCCTCCTCCTCCTCCTCCTCCTCTTCCTCCTCCTCCTCCTCCTCCTCCTCCTCCTCCTTCTCAGGCAACTGGGGCCCAAGCTTTGGGGGGCCTGCCTCTATGCGACCCGAGGCGCTTGAGGTGCGGTCTCCCCAGGGAGACTGCCAAATCAGAGGCAATCTCGGACCCCGCGGCCATCCCGCCATGGCACCGCGCCCCAAGAAGAGCTGGGAAGAATCTCCGCGGCGCAATGCTCCTGCTGCTGGCGGTCGTGCTGGCCCCATGTGGAAGTGCGAGAGCTGCGGCTGCGGCAAGAACCTCAGCCGCTACTGGTTCTGCAAGAAGTGCGGAGGGAAGCGTAAGGAAGTGGAAGCGTGCAGATACCCTCCAGCTGGAGGCGATCGGTCCGCCCAGGAATGGGCTGACTGGAGCGGCGGCGGTGAACCGCTCCCAGTTGGCCTTCAGGGGAGCGGCCCACCTGAGCTCGAGCAGCTGGTTGCCCTCAACAAGAAGCTGGGCAACGAGGCCGTGGCGCTGGCGTATCAGGGTCGACTTGATATGTGACACGCAATTTCTGAACCCGTGCCACTCCAGACTCAGGCTACGATTTCGGACCGGACCATCAAGCAGCGGGAGAAGGATCTCTACGCGGAGATGGCTTAGCACACACGCTGGCAAGATTGGCCGCCAGCCAAGAAGACCTCAATCGGCAAGCCTCGCGCCGATTTTCCACAACAACTGTCACAGGCAGAACAGGGAGGAGGGAGGGGGAGGAGGAGGAGGAGGAGGAGGAGGGAGGGGGAGGAAGAGGAGGAGGAGGAGGAGGAGGAGGAGGAGGAGAAGGAATAGGACCTCCCCATCCTCCCTTCTCCCCCGTGCTTTACCTGCGGTGGTGGTGGTGGTGGTGGTGGAACGTCGGCCCGCCAGGGAGCTTGGCCGCGGGGGTCCTGGGCCGGCGGCCCTGCAGGGCCAAGACCCGGCAGGGCCACGAGCCTCCGCCTGGACGTGACTTTTGCGCATCCGTGTCGGGTCGGGCGCGTCCCCCTGCAGGGGGCTTTTGGGCGAAAAATGGAAAATGCTCAAAAAAAATACTCCCAACCAATTCTCAAAAATAGTTATATATAATAATAATAATAATAATAATAATAATAATAATAATAATAATAATAATAATAATAATACTAATAATAATAATAATAATAAGAAGAAGAAGAAGAAGAAGAATATAAAAAAGAAAACAAAAACAAAAACAAAAAAAACAACAACAAAAAACGCCCTCAGACTATTTTCTGACCACTTTTGAATATTCCCCCTGAAGGGGACAGGCCCGACTGAACATCAGTGAGGGGGGTCCGGCGCCCATGCAAGAGATCCTCGCAGAGCTTCTGGAAGTTACGTCGGTGTCGTTTCTGCCTCTTCGAGCTCTCATGGGACGCACAGGGACATACTGATACTAAATGTCCTCCTTGGAAGCGCGCGTCCGACCCGAAAATATAGTATACCCATCTTGTAGTGTATCGTTTCCCGAGCGGTGTGGCCAGAAAGCGCCCGCCACGACGCATATACTATAAGATTTCTCGGTGCGCGCGCGTCGCCCTGGGGGGGCGACGCACATATAGTATTCGCCGGCCCAACGGGCCAGAGGCGTGCTAAGGTCTCCGGTAACTGGTTAACAGTATCTCTAGTTCGCGCGCGCGGGGCGGCCCCTGGGGGTCCCCGGACGAAAAGTACCCCGGGCGATCCCCGACCGACCCCCGAGCGATCCCCGGGAGACTCCCCCAGAGCGCTCCAGGAGCGCTCCAGGAGCGCACCAACAGGGCTCCGAGACGTCCCCGAAACCCTCAAGACGGGTCCAGATGCCCCCAAGAGGCTCCCAAGATGGTACACAAGGGTTCCGAGATGCCACATGATCGCTCCAAGACGCCCAAGATGGCCCCCAGACGCCCCAAGAGGCCTCCAAGAGCACTCCCAAAAGGGCCCCAAGAAGCAAAATTCATAGCTTTTCCTTAGGTTTTGGAAGGATTTTGGCGCTTACACCTTTTCGGCTTCCCGACGTCCCAAGACGGCTCAAGAGGCTCCCAAAATCGCCCCAAGAGAGCCCAAGAGGCCCCCAAGAGCGCCCCAAGACGGCCCAAGAGGGCGTCCAGACGGCCCAGGAGGCCTCCAAGACGGCCCCATGGCCCCCAAGAACGTTCCAAAAAGGGCCCCAGAGGGGGAACACGACACAACATTTCGAGCCCTCGGCCCGAAGAAGCCTTCAGGATCCCCCAAGAGGCCCCTAAGAAGCCCCAAGAGTCCCCCGCCCCCTGCAGCTCCGCACTGCCGACGGCCACTCGGCCAGTCGACGGCGGTGCGCGATATGGGCCTGCGGAATGAGCGAAGCGATTAATAAGTATGTTGGGGTGACGCCGATCTCATGCCCTCTTCCTGGGCGCTGCCGCCTGAGTAGCCGGCACGGCAAGTCCGTCTCGTGACGACCCCGGCCTTGCTTCCTGACACCACGTGGATCGCTCGACCTTGAAAACCAGCGGCAGCTTCTCGACCACCAGATCGTTCCAGATCGGTCCGACTCGCGCGGTCGCGCCGCGCGCAGGCCCACTGCCAGCAAGTCTTGAATGACGCGGGGCCCGCGCCGGTGCGCCGCTTCGCGGAAACGCGCTCGGTTGCGGGCGGGTGAGTTTCGACATATGTTCGCGCGTCGTCCTCCCCCCCCCCTGGCCGGTCGCGCTGCGCAGCGGCTCCGCGGCGCTGGCGCGGCACCGCCCCCGCCCCCCCCCCCCCTTCGTCTCTCGCTCACCCAGCCAGTCCAGCGAGGCCTTGGCCCGATCCCGCCCAAAGCTGGGAAGGGGGCAGCGAAACAGGTTGGGCAAGGCAGAGGGGGCCCAAGTGTGGGGGAGCGGCCAGGCGTTCGCGCGCTCGTGTTGAGGGCGCGCGGGGGGTCCGCGCCGTCGCGGAGGATGCCCGCTGGCGCAGCCCCCCTCCCCCCCCGCGCGCGCGCGGCGATCAATTCTTCAGCCACGGGAATCAAAGCAAAGGACAGAGGGTGCGCAGCGAGCGTTGCTGAGGGATGACCCCCCCCCACCAAGGGCCTCCAGGCTGCCTCCGGCCACCGAGCCCCACGCCATCGGACGCGCCGGGCCGATCGCCACTGGCTGTGCACGGCCTTCCCGCGCCCCAGATGGGCAGCCCCACCCCCAGGAGCTTTGCTCAGCCGTCGGACCAGCGCCTTCGCTGTCGCGGCGCGCAGCGCAAGCAAGCGTCCCCGGGCCAGCGCCACGGCGGTGCGGGGTCGCCCTGCGGGGTGCGGCTGCGCGGCCGTGCAGAGGTGCTGCGCCAGTGCGCCGTGCCAGTGCGCGGCCTTGGAGAGAGGATGCATCGGCGCCGTCGAAGGGCCCAGCCGAGGACGACCTGCCTGTCGCGCGCATCAAGTCTTACCTCGTCAAGGAGGCTCGCGAGCGTGGCCAGGTCGAAGGCGCGGGCTCAACCTCAACTCATGGCGGTTGAAGGGTACTCCCGAGGCCATGCGCACCTTTCCTGCCCCTCCCCCGCATTGGGGGAGGGGGGGCGCATTAGGGAAAAGGCGAGACAAAGGGTAGAGCAGCAGGACGAGCACAAAGGAAGGCGTGGGCGCGCTCTCTCCTGTCCACGCGGCGCCGCCCAGCCTCGCAAGGGGCGAGTGCGGCTGTCCATGCTCCAGCGTCGGCGCGCACACGCTCGCCAGGAAGGCCGCGGGCGAGGCCGCCAGGCCTGGAACACGAGACGGCGAGGTCCCCCTCGGACGGGATGCAGTCGACGCGCACGAGGATGCGCAGGACACCGCACAGGAGCCAGCTGACGCCCCCCAGCGCTTGACTGTCCTCGTCCGCTGCTGCGCCTGGGAGGACATTGCTCAGCGCCGCTCAGATGTCCTCCAAAAGGAAGAATTGCGCGCCCTGGAGTGCCTCGGGGAAGGACGGCACCAGCACCAGGATGGCTAGTAGTTCTGACTACGTGTTCCGCTGTCGCTTGCCACAGGCGCTGAGCTGCGCGCACAGGCGTGCTGGGACTTGCGCGCTGAAGCTATGGGAGCCGTGGTCCTCTGTCAGGAGGAAGCTGCCCACCGCGCCAGTGCACAGGTCCATCTCTTAGCTGCCGTCGATCCAAGCGATAGCAAGCATGGACCCTGCGCTGTTCTGCTCCATGTGGTGCATTGGGCCAGACTTTCTTGCTGCGGCTGCTTGCTGCAACCGCTTTCGGCGTCTGGTTACAGCTTAAGCATCAATACTTAGTGATTGCCTCATCACTTCTCCCCCTCACTCCTCACTGCTCACGCCTCATCCCTCACTCCTCAGTCCTCGGTCCTCAATCCACCCCCTCCTCCCTTTCCCCCCTCCTCCTCCTCCTCCTCCTCCTCGTCCTCCTCCTCCTCCTCATCCTCCTCATCATCAGCATCATCATCATTATCATCATCATCATCATTATCATCATCATCAACATCATCATCAATTTGATTAACATCCTAATCCTACACATCCCTTGTTCATTTAAATAACTCCTCCGCGTCGCACCCCCAAGCGTGTCGGAGTGTGTCTTGCCTGAGCACCGCGCACATTCGCTGTTGAATGCAACGTTAGCAAGATGGAGGACTGGTCCTTTCACCATGGAGATGCCGCCTGAGACTTCTCTATATAAGCTTAAGGACCCGAGATGTCAACGCACGTAGCACTGGACGGAACCATGACGGCGCATTTCCAAACTTGACCTTTTGCTTGAGGCTTCCATGACTATCATGACCACAACGCAAGTTTGTGCAACAGTTACGCTGATGGGGGGGCGTTTCCTTCTCGAAAGGGGGACTCGCTGGCCACCTCGCTGAACTGTATGACAACTGTTTTCCCATTCGTGCCCACGCACCAGGCAGACGTAATGAAGTTCCTTGCCAAAGTGGGGCCCTCACTAAGATGGCAGGCCAAACTGTGCTGGTGCATCAAAAAGGGCGCTGTATTGCAGCAAAGCTGATTCAAGTTTCCTTTACGCTTGTCGTCCTTTTCCCCCTCACTCCTCCTCCTCCTTCTCCCTCCTCCTCCTCCTCCTCCTCCTCCTCATCATCATCATCATCATCATCATCATATTCCTCGTAGTTCCCCCCGTCCTCACCATCATTACCACCTCCTTGTCCTCTTACTCCTCACCAACATCACCACCACCACCACCACCATCCTCATCCTCATTATCAACCTCATCCTCGATAGCAACATCAACGTCAACATCACTATCAGCATCAGCATCAACAACATCATCATCGCCGTCGTCATCGTCATCGTCATCGTCATCATCATCATCATCAACATCATCATCATCCTCATCATCATCAGCATCATCAGCATCAGCATCAGCAGAATGTTCAGCATCGTCATCATCATCAGCACAAGTATCAACATCAGTATCGGCATCAGCATCATCATCGTCATCATCATCACCATCATCATCGTCATCATCCGTATCGTTATCAACATCATCGTCATCGTCATCATCACCACCACCATCGTCATTATTATCAACAACACATAAGGATAAGCATAATCAGCAGCAACATCATAATCAGCATGATCATCAGCATCATCATTAGCATCAACCTCATCATCAGCAGCAGCCTCATCAGCATCATCATCATCCGACGCAGCATCATCATCATCCGCACCATCATCACCACCACCAACAACAAAATCACCATCATCATAAGCATCAGCAGCATCGTCGTCAACATCAGCATCAGCCGCATCATCAACATCAGGATCACAATAATCAGCAGCAGCATCATCAGCAGCATCAGCATCGACATCCTGATGATCATCACCATCATCGCCATGATCAACCGCATCATCGACATCAGCATCATCAGCATAGTCATGATCATCATGCTCGTCGACATCATCATCATCATCATCATCATCATCACCATCATCATAATCATAACCAGAATCATCATCATCATCATCACCACCGTCATCATGAACACCAGCAACACCACCATCATCATCATCATAATCATCATCATCATGAGCATCATCATCAGCATCATAATCACTCATCCTGATCCTCCTCTTCCTCCGCCTGCTCCTCTTCCTGCTCATTATCATCATCAGCCTCTTTCTCCTCCTCCTCTTTCTCCTCCTCCTCATTCTCCTCCTTCTCGTACTCCTCCTCCCCATACTCCTCCTCCTCCTCCTTCTCCTCCTCCCCCTTCTCCTCCTCAATCCCCTCCTCCTCCTCCTCCTCCTCCTCCTCCTCCTCCTCCTCCTCCTCCTCCTCCTTTTCATCCTCAAACTCCTCATCCTCAAACTCCTCCTCAAACTCCTCCTACTCCTCCTCCTCCTCCTCCTCCTCCTCAACTCCTCCTCCTCCACCTCCTCATCAAACTCCTCCTCCCAAAATTCCTCCTCCTCCTCCTCCTCGTCCTCGTCCTCCTCGTCCTCCTCGTCCTCCTCCTCCTCCTCCTCCTCCTCCTCATCATCATCATCATCATCATCATCATCATCATCATCATCATCATCATCATCATGGGTCATCGTCGTCATCATCATCATCAGTCCTCCGCCTCCTCTTCCTCCTCCGCCTCCTCCTCCTTCATTCCTTATCCTTATACAGAACTTATCCCTGTCGAACCCCGAGGCCAGTTTTTAGAGCGGGCCGGGCGTTTCGCCTGAGACTTCCTTATCAGCAGCGACCCTGAATACAAAAACTAGCAACAGTTGCAGAGGTGGAGGGCGGGTCGTTTTCAAAATGTGGTTGCCGACTTAGCGCCGCGCACACACGTCTTAAAATGTGCAAGAGCTTCACGGATTGAGAGCGACCCGCTTTCAAGATGTGACACTCGCCTTAGCGCCGTGCACATTCTTTGTAAAAAAATTGCAAGAGCTTGACGGATTGAGGGCGACCCGTTTTCAAAATGTCGCTGTCGCCTTAGCGCCGCGCACATTCGTTGTACAATTTCGCAAGAGCTCCACGGATTGAGGGTGGCCCGTTTTCAAAATGTGGCTGTCGCCTTAGCGTCGCGCACATTCGGTTAAAAAATTGCAAGAGCTTCACGTATTGAGGGCGGTTCCTTTTCAAAATGTGGTTCTCGTCCTAGCGCCGCGCAACCTAATTGCTTTAGAAGTTGCAAGAGTTTCACGGGTTCCAATGACTTACGTACCAGAAAGACCCTCTGGAAGGACTCTGGATCATGATGGGCGTAACAGTTACGTTCATTCGCGGCCTTGACGTCCCCGTTATGGCATTATGCTACGAGTCTGGATTGTCTAGACGCAACAATCATGTGGATCCGTGGCGTTGGGATCCCGAGAACAATGTTTTGGCAAACTTCAGGGTATTTAAACTTTAAGCGGTTGTCTTCCAACGAAACAGTTCACTCTGTGGAACTGAACCGTTGTAGGCCTTGCGAGGAGGGAATTTGGAGAGAGGGTTTATTACAACATCGTTGATGACTCTTGTGTTTACACTGATCCTTTTCCTCCTCCTCATCATCATCATCATATTCCTCCTCCTCCTCCTCCTTCTCCTCCTCCTCCTCCTCTTCTTCCTCCTCATCCTCCTCCTCCTCCACTCCTTTTCCTTACAGGTAACTTCCCCCTGTCGCACCCCAAGGCCAATGTTTAGGGCGGGCCGGGCGCTTCGCCTGACACCCCATTGTCATTCATAACCCCGAAGCATAAAAAATTGCACCGATGAAGGGCGGGTCGTTTTCAAAATGTGGCTCTCGCCTTCACGCCGCGCACACTCGTGTCTAAGATGAGTAAGAGATTCACGGATTGGAAGCGAATGGCTTTCAAAATGTGGCCCTCGCCTCAGCAAGACGCACATTCGTGTTGAAAACAAGCAAGAGCGTCACGGAGTGAGGACGGTTCCTTTTGAAAATGTGGTTTTCGCCGTAGTGCGTGGCGCCGCACACATGCGATTCTAAAAATTGCAGGAGATCTGCGGACTCTCCTGATCAACGTACCAGAAATGATGTTGTGGAGGGGCGCAGGATTATGATGGGCGCAACCGTTACGTTCACTCGCGGCGCTGAAGTCCCCATTATGGCGTTTTGGCACGATTCCGGATCGTCAAGAAGCAACAATCAGGTTGATCCGTCGCGATGGAATCCCGAGAACAATGCTTTGGCAAGCTCCAGGGTCTTCAAACGGTTGCCTTCCAACGAAGCAATTTACTCTGTGGAACAGAACCGTTGTAGGCCCTGTGAGGAGGGAGCCTTGAGGGAGGGTTTATTCCAACATCGTTGGTGATTCTTGGGCTTACACTTGTCATCCGCCTCCTCCTCCTCCTTTTCCTCATCCGCCTCCTCTTAAAATGCAGCTACTAATGGACAGCCTCAGAATCCAGGAAACACTTTAATTGCATGAAAGATGTAGGGGGAAAAAAAGTGATGTGAAATAGGTCAAAATTAGGCCGCCGCAGTATGTTCTTACAGAAATAACAAACATATACAAGGCCCCGAATGTAACGGCAGCGGCGGCGGCGACACGACGGCAAAGCAGAGAGAAGGGAAAGAAACTGCAACGGCGCAACTGTCAGGAGAAAGTGAGTTCCAGTCGGAGAGGTTGCGTGACATCGCATGGCGAATCGCATTGAAACCAAGGAAGCAGAAGGAGGAGGAGGAGAAGGGGCCTACTCCTATGGTATATGCATATATGTTGAAGATGTGATAACAATGTATTTTCGCAACCAAATTTGTCCCTACTTTGAAACTGTTCCACATACCAGAACCTGTGCATAATACCTTCATTCCAAGCCTCCTCCTCCTCCTCAACCTCCTCCACCTCCTCCTCAAACTCCTCCTCCCCAAACTCCTCCTCCTCCTCCTCCTCCTCCTCCTCCTCCTCGTTTCTGTCCCTCCTCTCCCCGTTAGTGGCTAGAGGCCCCGCCTGGCTACAGGGGCAGCCCGCTCGAGGGGAGCCTGCTCGGCCTGCCAGACCAAGCTGGGCCCGCCGGAGCCTCGGCTGCGCGTGCGAAGGCCAGAGGATGGGAGGGAGGGAGGGCGGGCGGGAGGGAAGGAAAGAAGGGAGTGGCGGGAAGGGAGCGAAAGGAAGGGAGCGAAGGCAAGGGAGGCAAGGGAGGGAGGAAGGGAGTCAGAAAACCAAGGGAAGGAGAGAAGGAAGGAGGAAGGGAAGGAGGGGAGGGGAGGAAGGAGCAAGGAGGCAGGCAAGGAAGGAGGAAGGGATGGAAGGGATGGAGGAAGGAGAAGGGGAGGAAGGGAAGGAGTGAGGGAAGGAGGAAGGGAAGGAAGGGAGGAGAGGAAAAAGCAAGGAGGCAGGGAAAAAAGGAGGAAGGGAAGGAAAGGATGGAGAAATGAGGAAGGAGAAAGGGAAGGAAGGGTCCCTTTGGGACGCCCGAGCGCCATGTCTGCTGCATGGGGATGATCATGGGGTCCGGGATATGAGCACGTCTACGCCACGCAATTGGCAACACTGCCTGGGAGGTCCCGAAAATCTGAACGCGAGCTGGCCCGCGTCATGCCCCTTGTGGTTCGCCCCGGGGATTCCCACGGCCACGCCTCCTGCGTCGCGATGACCAGGGGGTTCTGAAAGGAGACGCGTCGACCGCCAAACAAACAACCATTATGTTTAAAAAGTCCTGACAATATGGGCGCGGAGGGGCCCGTGTCATGCCACCCGGCGGCTCCCCACTGGGGCGCCCAGGTACGATGGCTGTCACGTCGCCGTGATCCTGATCATGGGGCCCACTGTAAAAAGGAATACGACTGTGAGTGTACGAGTATGCCTCAATATGCGTACGATTGAGTCTGAATGTGGTGACCCTGGGAAAAATACCAGCATGGGCGAATCGGACTACGAACGCGCCTGAGTGCCGGTGAGTCTGCGCACGAATGATCTTAGCACGATTGAACATGAATATGAGCTGGCCCGAGTGCGAGTACGCTTGAAGTATGAGCGAAGTGAGCCTCAGTATGAGTGATCTGAACGTGGGCGAATCCGAATAAATCCGAGTATGAGTGGGTCTGCACGCAAATCACTCGTGAGTCAATCTGAAAACCAAAGGGCGAAGGAGGGAGGCGAAGGCGTCACGCTAACAACGAGGACCCCACACTTACGCGACGAGGAACAAAACCCCATACCCAGATCCCCAACGTCGACCCCCTGAGATCTCGACCACCCTTCCAGGACCCGCGTATCATCCCGAGCCATTTTCTGACGAACCCAAGGCCTGGTGAGGGCCCCAAGAGGCCGAAAGCTGCCAAACAGCTGCCCGCCGCGACTTTGCTCACGGCGCGAAGGGGGGTGGGTACTTCGGGCATGGAGGGAAGCACGGCTGTCAGAGGGCCGAGGGGCCTCTGGGGGGACATGGTCAGAGAGCCGATTCCGCCCTGGCTCCCGCAGGATGTTCATGATAGGGCAAAGCCTTCTACTCAAAGAGATGCGCCCTTGCTCCAGCGCGTCAATACCTGAGCCGACATGGCCATCGGTGAGGGAAGTAGACCGTGGGATCTGGGCACACGAACACGCACATACACATATACACACACACACTTTTGGTTACGTCGGCAATTGGGCAGAGGGTAACTGCTCTGGCGGATAGGGAACAAGGGACACGCTGCATGCAAACGAAGGCCGCAATGCATGGAGGAGGACGAGGAGCCCCAGCGCGACAGGGGGAGAGGAAGCCGGGCCCACTCAGGCGAGTCGCCGACTGCGGCAGGGGAAGCGCCGAGGGAGGAGCACCAGCGCCGGCACTGAGCTGCACTGAGCTGCACTGAACTGAAGCTGCGGGGGGAAGCAGCCCAGCAGACTGGGCGGCCCGTGGGGGGGCAACACAAGCGAATCAGAGACTCGACCCAGCGAACCGATAGGCGCGGCCCCAGGGAGGAGCCAAAGCGCCGAGACCTAGGGGCCTACGAGGCGCGGCGGGAGGCGAGAGGCGAAAGAAGGCAGACAGGAGAGCGCCCAAACGGGCACCACCGTGGCCCAGCGAGCAGCAGGGCGGGCGACCCAGGCACGGAGCCACCAAGGGGGCGCAGCGCGAGGGCGGCCCTCAACGTGGACAGGGGGGCGGGACAGAGCCGACGAGGACGACGTCGTCGGCAGTGCCAAGGGAGGGCTGGCCTCGATAATCTCGGCCGGGGATTGGGGGGCCCGAGCTGGCCGCGCCTGCAGGGGAAAGCGCCGCCGAAAAATTGGCACCCCTGCACAGGGCGGCCTCGCCGCGGGCGGAGGTGATCTGGTCGCCAGCGTGCTCGCGCGGCCGCGCTCCAGCTCTGCCCGGCGCACCCTGGACCCCACCCGCCCTGCCTCGGCGCGCCGCGCGGAGTCCTGCAGTTCCGCGGCGGCTCTCCTGGACTGCTCCAGCTCGGCCTCGGCGCGCGGGATCGGAGTCCGGCAGCTCCGCGGCGGCTCTCCTGGACTCCTGCAGCACGGCCTCCGCGAGCCGCTCGGGGCCCCACGGCGCATCGGCGGCTCTCCTGGGCCCCTCCAGCCCCTCCCCGGCGCGCCGCGCAAAGTCGCGCAACTCCGCGGCGGTTCTCCTGAAGTGCTCCAGCTTGGCCTCGGCGCGCCGGCCCGAGTCCTGCAGCTCCGCGGCGGCCCCCCTGGATTCCCCCAGCCCCACCCTCGGCGCGCCACGCAGAATCCTGCAGCTCCGCAGCGGCTCTCCTGGACTGCTCCAGCTCGACCTTGGCGCGCCGCAGTAGCGGCTCTCCTGGACCCCTCCAGCTCCGCCTCGGCGCGCCGCTCGGAGCCCTGCAGCTCCGCGGCGACCCTCCTGGACTGCCCCAGCTCCGCCTCGGCGCGCCGAGGCCTCCGCGCGCCGCTCGGGGCCCCACGGCGCGGACGCGGCTCTCCTGGACCCCTCCAGCTCCGCCTCGGCGCGCCGATCCGAGCCCCCTGGACTCCTGCAGCACGGCCTCTACTCCACCAGCTCCGCCTCGGCGCGCCGCGCGGAGTCCTGCAGCTCCGCGGCGGCTCTCCTGGACCTTCCAGCTCCGCCTCGGCGCGCCGATCCGAGCCCCGCAGCTCCGCGGCGGCTCTCCTGGACTCCTGCAGCACGGCCCCTCCTCCACCAGCTCCGCCTCGGCGCGCCGCGCGGAGTCTTGCAGCTCCGCGGCGGCTCTCCTGGACTCTTCCAGCTCGGCCTCGGCGCGCCGATCCGAGTCCGGCAGCTCCGCGGCGGCTCTCCTGGACTCCTGCAGCACGGCCTCCGCGCGCCGCTCGGGGTTCAACGGCGCCGCGGCGGCTCTCCTGGATTCTTCTAGCTCGGCCTCGGCGCGCCGCGTGCTGCACTGCAGCTCCGCGGCGGCTCTCCTGAACTGCTCCAGCTCGGCCTCCAGCTCCGCCCCGGCGCGCTCCGCGGACGCCGCGCCGACCGCCCACGACCCGAGGCCAGGGAGGGCCGCCGGCACAGTCCCTCTGGCCGCCGCGACCGACAGAGCGGCCGCAGCAGCCGCCCAGGCCGCCGCGGCCACGGAGGCGGAGGCCGCTGCGCCAGTGGGGACTGCGGCGGAATCAGCAGCAGCAGCAGCAGCAGCGCGGGCCGCGGCGCGGGGCGCAGCGGCAGCGGCAGCGGCACAGGGCACCACGGCGCTAGGCGCCGCGGCGCGGGGCGCGCGTTGCCCACGGTGCCCGCGACGCCCGCGGCGCCGGCGGCACCAGCAGCGCCAGCGGCACGCTCGAGCAGCGCCCACAGGCCACACAGCGCGGGCGGCCCGCGCGGTTGCCGCCGCCGCGTGGCCGACGGACAGCACCGCGGAAATGGGCGCCGAGAGGAGGAAGCCCTCCACCGCCCCGCATGCCGGCCGAAGTCCAGGGAGGACACCGGCCGGGCAGCCGGCCAACCTCGAGCTAGAGCGCTTTGAGCCAAAAGGGATTGAGTCAAAGGTTTGAGCCAAAAGGCTACGGTCACATATTTATATATATATGTATAATAAACAAATAAATCAATGAATACATGAACAGACGAATACATAAATACATATAGATTCTAGTATAACATAAATATATATATATACACACACACGCGCACTCTCACACACACACACACACACACAGGCGCGCACACACACACACACACACACACACACACACACACACACACACACACACGCCCGGAGGCGGGCCGAGGCCGCGGCGGTAGCTGGGCAGCTCCGACCCAGAGGCGAAGCTGGCCCTTCTCGAAGCCGCCGACGCGCGGTGGCCGCCGCCCGTGCTCTGCGAGCGCCCGCTCTGAAGCCGGCCCCGCGTGCTCGGGGCCTCGCGCGCGGGCGCCGAGGGCGCCGCGGCCGCAGGCGAGGGGCGCCGCCGCCGGCGCCGTCGCCGTCGCCGCTGGCGTTGTCGCTGACGTCGTCGCGGCCGTCGGCGCGGACGCTCGTCGTCGTTGCCGCCGCCGCCGCCGCCATCGTCGCCAACAGCGCGGGCGGCCATCGTCGAGGGGGAGCAGCAGCAGCAGCAGCAGCAGCAGCAGCAGCAGCAGCAGTGGGAGGAGCAGGAGGAGGAGGAGGAGGAGGAGGAGGAGGAGGAGGAGCATGAGGAATACCAGAGGAGGGGGAGGAGTAGAGGAGAGGAGGAGAGGGAGGAGGAGGAGGAGGAGGAGGAGGAGCAGGAGGAGGAGTAGGACGACGACGACGAGGACGAGAAGGAGGAGGAGGAGGAGAAGGAGGATGAGGAGGAGGAGGAGGAGGAGAAGGAGGAGGTGTACTGAAGGAGAAGGAGCGTGGTGTGCTGAAGGAGAAGGAGGGAAAGAGAGAAGGAGGGAGGAACGAACGAACGACCACCAATGCGGACAGCAGTCCAGGCCTACCGGAGACCAGGTGAATGAGGCCGTGGCCTCTGAAATAGTATTGTGTATGGTGAGGCGGAGGAGGATCAGGAGGAAGAGGAAGAGGAGGAGGAGGAGGAGGACCACTGTAAACCCAAGACTCATCAACGATGTTGGACTACACCCACCCTCCAAGCTCCCTCTTATAGACCTCTACAATGGCTGGTGCCCACGGAGGGAATTGTCCCGTTGGGGGACAACCGTGTAAAAATCTTGAAGCGTGCCCAATCAACGCCACGAGTTGACCTGACTGATGCTCATTGGCGATCTTGAACCATGCCAGGACACCATTCCTGGAACTTCAACACCGCGAATCAACGTAACTGCTGTGTCCTGACAATCCTGAACCATTCCAAAGCACCACTTCTGGTACCTCAACAAAAAGAACCAACGAAACCCGTGCAACTTCTTGAAGCGAGTGTGCGCGGCGCTAAGGCGAGAGCCAAATGTTGAAAAGAAGCCGCCCTCACTCCGCGAACCTCTTGCAAATGTTTCAAAGGAGTGTGCGCGGCGCCATGGCGACAGCCACATCTTGAAAACGGCACACCCTCAATCGTCGAAAATCTTACAGTGTATCCAACGAATGTGCGCGGCGTTGTGGCGCGCGCCACATTTTGAAAATGGCCCGCCCTCCATCTGAGAAACGCTTGCAAAGTTTCCAACGAAAGTGCGCGGTGCTAAGGCGAGAGCCACATCTTGAAAACGGCACGCCCTCAATCCGTGAAACTCTTTCAAATGTTTACAACGAATGCGCGCGGCGCGAAGGCGAGAGCCAGATTTTGGAAGCGGCCTGCCCTCCATCTGTGGAACGGTTGTCAACTGCCTGAAATTCAGGATCATACATGGTGAGGAAGTGTAACTCAGGAAAGGGAATGGAGGGAAGGGTGGAAAAAAGGAGGAGGAAGGAGGTGAAGGAGGACCGGAGGAGAAGGAGGAGGGAACGGGGAGGAGGATGAAGAGGAGGGGGCAGGATCTCGAAAGGAGGAGCGACCAGAGGGGGGCGCAGGACACGGGAGCAGTTAGATGCTCGAGCGCCTGGGAATCTCTGCGCGCACACACACACACACACACACACACACCTCCCACGCCTCTCCATCTGTGGGCGCCCTGGCGTCAGCGCGACAGCTGCAGACGCCCAGGCGCCGACTGGTCCCTGGCGATCTCGCCGAGAAGGCGCAGCGCCTGCTCCCACCTGCCGCTCAGCTCGCACGCGCTGATGGCGGCGCCGTAGCCGACGACGTCTGGGTCGAGCGCCGCCCCCCGCGCCTCGCTGAGCACGGACAGCGCCTTCTCCCACTGCCCACCCTGTCCGCACGCCACGACCACGCAGGTGTAGCTGATACCGTCTGGCTCCACCCGCAGCCGCCGCAGCTCGCCAAGCAGCGACAGAACTCGCTCCCACTTTCCGCCCTTCTCGCAGGCGCTGAAGGCTGCGTTGTAGATGAAGCGGAGCAGGCCCGCGGAGCCTGCGACCCCTGACATCCGACGCCGCGACTTGCTCAGAACTTCACTCGGGGGTGTCCGAGACTGGGGCGATCAAGAGAGGGGGGTCGCAAGTCATGGCCCGAGGCACTTGCGCGGACTAGGGGGGGAACCAGGGGACGCACTGAAACAGAAAGATGGGACCATAAGAGCCGTGGAGATCTCCTGACCCAGGCCATGGCACCCACCCACCCACCCCTAGTCATCACCCGCCTCCTGGACGCCCCCGATGTTCACCCGCTCCCGACCCCAACCCTGGGACCACTGCTGCATCGCGGCCCAGTTGCGCACTGCCCCAGGGCCGAAAACGCCTCGCTGATGCCGAGATCCTGGAGAAAGAGGCACCCGTCGTGGCTTTGTTCGCGACGCCTGGCGGCCCGGGACGGCTCTCGTGGACAGGACCGCCTTGCAGCTCTCTGTCCGAGGAGTCGTCGGCCAACGGGCCTGCCCGCACACGTCTGCAGCGGCGACCGCGCGCTCGCCGGGGGGCATGTTGCCAGTGGGCGTGAGGACTGCGCGGCCCTCATCACCCTCCACCCTCCCCTTTCCTCCTCCTCCTCCTCCTCCTCCTCCTCCTCCTCCTCCTCCTCCTCCTCCTCCTCCTCGTTCTCGTCCTCCTCGTTCTCCTCATCCTCGTCCTCCTCCTCCTCCTCCTCCTCCTCCTCCTCCTCCTCCTCCTCCTCCTCCTCCTCCTCTGCCTCCCCGCGTGATCTGCCAATACATCTGCTCCCCCGCCCTCCTCCCCCTGTATCGTCCTGCTCATCATCATGCCAGCTCCCCTCCTCTCCCATCTTCCTCCTCATCATCCTCCTATCCTTGCTCTTCTAATCCCCATCATCATCCTGTTCTCCATCCTCGCTTCTCTTTTTTCCCATCTTCCCTCCCCTTCCTCCTCCTGCAGCACTGATTCTCCTGATATACACACAAACACACACACACACACACACACACACACACATGCACACGCACACGCACACGCACACGCACGCACACGCACACGCACGCGCACACGCACACGCACACGCTCACGCACGCGCACGCGCACGCGCACACGCACACGCACATGCACGCACATACACACATACACACATACACATACACATGCACATACACAGACACATACACACATACACATACATATACACATACGCATACACTACACATACACATACACATTCACATACATTTGCACACACATGCACATACACACATACACACATACACACATACACACATACACATGCACATACACATACACAGACACATACACATGCACATGCACATATGCATACCTAGATACAAGCATACATATGTGTATACATATATATATATAAACATACATATATCTATATAGGTATCGTGAGCAGGGGTAGGTTGAACTTTGAAACGTGTACGTACCGTGTGCTGTGATCTGCTTATCCAAGGGTCAGAATGACGATATGTATGTGCATCCTATGTGTATTCTTCTAGAGTAGATTCAGCCGCTTCAAATCGTGCTGCAAGCTCCTCCTGCAACTCTTTCCCAAAAAGGCCCGTCTGTAGATCTGCTGTTAGTTTCTGATAGTCATAGCGAAAGGAGTCCGAGTCACTAGAGAGATGCGGCAGCTCATACTGTACCCTCATGAGGACAGGCAGATGGTCACGCGGGCGCCCGCTCGGTATAAGTTGTAATTCGCGCCCGCTCCTCCAGGCTACCTGACGCCTGGTTACCCCAGGGATAAGACCACGAGGCAGCAATCACATGTCAATGGTGCTGGCTCCCCCTGGCGCCGTAGTCCGTCGGGCCAACACGGCGAGAGAGAAGGTGCATGGGGCTGTCATATCTAGATCAAGCAAGAGATCGCCCACGAAAGTACCTCCTGGTCCCTGACAGCCGACATGCTGCGGACCGCTGTTCTCGCGCGTTTCATCACGATATTGACCATCACTTTCAAGGCCGAACCCCGAGTGGAGGTCCAGGTCCGCTACAACTGTGCTACGTGTAGCGGCTCATTCAACACGTGCTCTGCGCTTGCCCCCCGAGGCGCGCAATGGTGGCGGATATGGTGCGATCAACGTAGGGTCGAGCCCATGACCCTTAACACGAACCTCGCCATACCGACTTGGGATATCCGGGTGACCTGCGCGCGCGCTTCACGATCCCAGCAATGAACTTATGCGTCCGAGTGCCTCTTCTTTAAGTACCTCGGAGACTGATTTTTGACCACCGACCCCGCCCTTAGAATTTTCCTTAACTCGTTTTCGGAAGGTATAAGTATAGGTACTTAAGGAGTAGGTACTTAAGGAGTAGGTACTTAGGGAGTCGTTAGGAAGTAGGTACTTAGGGAGTAGGCGCTTAGGGAGTGTTTACTTACGGGGTAGGCGCCTAGGGAAGCGGTACCTAGGGCGTAGGTACTTAGGGAGTAGGTACATAGGGAATAGGCACTTAGGGTGTAGGTATTTAGGGAGTAGGTACTGAGGGGTAAGTACTGAGGGAGTAGGTACTTAAGTAAAGGAGGAAGAGGTTAGCATGATCGGTCGGAAATGAGAGGGGGGCCATAACGAGGGGGGGGGTTCTCGGATTAGGACGAGGATATGGTGGAGCGGGGGCAGCGCGCGAGAGTTGGCCCGTGGAAAATATCATATGCGGGGGACTAATGTTATGAGATGCTGTGCCAATGCTACGCCAATGCTAAGCTGATGCGAATGCTATGCTATTCCGTGCCAGTGTTGTGCTGAGTCTAGTTCATCTGTCTCACACGCCTCGGGCCCTTGATTCTCACACGCCGTGTCCTTGTGTCTCTCACACGCCTCAGGATCGGGCCCTTGTTACGCTCACACGCCACAGCCGTGTCCTTGAGTCTCACACGCATCGGGTCGTTTTTTCTCACACGCCGTGTCCTTGTGTCTCACACGCCTCTGGTCCTTTCTCACACGCCGTGTCATTATTTTCTCGCGCGCCTGGCCGAGGCGTCTCGGGTTGGCCGAGGCGCCTCGGGTCGTCATTCCTGCCGGAGAACGATACTGAGATCGATTGTGAGATCGATTGTGGGACCGATCGATAGTGAGATCGATTGTGAGATCGTTTGTGGCCTTAGGCTTTTTGGGGCGTGTTGGGGCCTTAGGCGTCTTGGGGTGTCTTGGGGTGTCTTGGGGCCTTAGGCATCTTGGGGTGTCTCGGGGCGTCTTGGGGCCTTAGGCGTCTTGGGGTGTTTAGGGGCCTTAGGCGTATTGGGGTATTTGGGGGTCTTAGGCGTCTTGTGGTGTCTGGGGGCCTTAGGCTTCTTGGGTTATTGTTGGCCTTAGGCGTCATATGGTGTCTTGGGGCGTCTTAAACCTTAGGCGTCATGTGGTGTCTTGGGGCGTCCTGGGGCCTTAGGCGTCTTGGGGTGTCTAGGGGCCTTAGGCGTCTGCGGGTGTCTCGGGGCCTCAGGCGTCTTGGGGTGTCTTGGGGTGTCTTGGGTCGCTGGGCCAATCCAGTTTGCCGAGTTGTGAGTTGGGTCCTTTGTCATAGCCATTTGAGGTTCAGGCCATTTCCGAGGCCTGAGGATCCGAGGTGACCATATTTGGAGTTCGCCCCATCGGACATCGTGCATCGCAATGCCAGCCACCCTGTCCACCCCGTCCAAGGCCTCGAACCCTGCGCTGCTGAGCAGCGCAAGCCCTTCGACGGCGCAGCGCAGCTTCTTGGCCCAGCGCGTGCCGCTACCAGTCAAGACTGGCAACCACATGATCGACGACGAGGCTCTCGCTCGCAGGGAGTGCTTCATGACCATCATCGACGAGTGCAGCGCCAACGACTCGCATATCCTGCCATTGTTCAACGAGTTGAACAAGCGCCTGAGGGCCATGGCGAAGGAGGTGAAGTGCGACGGAGCGAAGTTCGACTCGCTGGCGAAAGCATTCGGCAACACCGACGAGGAGTTCATGATCAGGATCATCGTGTCGAACTCGGATCTCACCTTGGCCGAAATCGTCAAGGCGAAGCAGATGGACGATGGGGCAGTGTTTCAGCTCATGCAGTTCGCGCTCCAGTGGCCGAAATCGTTGAAGTACCCCGAGGAGGCCAGGGTTGTCGAAGTGCTCTCTAGGACGATGACGGCTCGTCTCGGCGCGTGCGGGGACAGGCTCAAGCGTTTCAAGGCGAGGGGCGGCGTCGACTCCACAGGGGCGCTCCACTGGCGGGCTGGCAGCTACGATCTCAAGTTCGCAGGTGGCAAGCTCACGGAGGTCACGCACATCAGCGCCGACAAGGTCCAGATCCCCCCAGGCTACCACATCGACAACACCTACACGCTGAACTTAAATTGGGACGATTGGACCGCCTGCCTGATGAAGCCGCCGATGCCGCCAATTCTCCTCTCGGAGTTCTTCAAGACTACGAAGACTGGCCCTTTCAAGATCCCGAGGGTCACGCCGTCTTCGAAGGACTTCGCGAAGAGTGTGCAGGACACATTCAACATCTACAAGGCCGAGGTCGAGAGGGTGAACGGCACGGCCAGCGCTCCCAGCTCTTCGGGGTCCGAGATCCAGAAGGAGTTGAAGTCACTCGACTCGGAGAAGAAGCGCAAGGCAATGGAGAAGGCCAGGAAGTCCGCTTGCGACAAGATGCAGGAGGTGAAGAAGCGCCGCTCGATCTCTCTCGCGGCTCAGTCTGCGTGAGCTTCGACTTCCTGGCATGGGATGGGTGGGCTCGCCGATGGGTCGAGCGAGCCAGCATGGGCGATCGAGCGTACTGAGGCCTTACTTTTACACGTGCTGGCGCATATTTCGACCTTGTCCGATTTCTCTCGTTGCCGTCCTGGGGCTCTTTGTTCTCCGGCTTCGGATGGGGGCATCCCGAGCTGAAGCTCTTCAAGATTAGCGCCGTGCACTCTTACTTCGAGGCATCAGTTTCCAGCAGTACCAGCATCCGCCCATGGTTTTTTGGGAGTTGTGAAAAACAGAGCTCGAATACAATCGGAGATAGCGAAGATAACGATGTGAGCGAAGATAACGAATATAAATATGATATGTATGATGGGGCATTTGAGCGAAGATAAACGCGCGTAAACGAGAGTAGCGAAGATAGACGATGCTTGGTCAACTATGTCATGTAGGAGGTAGGGGGGTTGGAGGAGCTAACGCAACGCGCCAATAAGGGGCGCAGCATGAACCCATGCGGCCTGTGTGCTATATGAGCCAGGGGTTTTTGGAGGAGCTAACGCAATTACGTGTTATAAGGGGTTGGGGGTATTGGGGGAGCTAGCGCACCCTAGGCACATTGCAGATGGTGGGGTAAGATTCACCAGTCAATCCAAGAAGCTGAGATGAGCTGTCTGATCCATATCTCAGTCGAGCTACGGGCCTCACATGCTCTCAATGTCGTTTCCAGGTTTTGCCTCTGATAGCCATTTGGTTTGCAGAGTTTCTCTGAACACAGTTTTCGGCCAGGTCTCAGTTATCGTCTTTACTTTGCGGACCAGGATCCGCCCGAGGTGCGATGGACCCAGCAGCGCCTGCTGTCGTTCCAGATCCTGCTCCTTCCGCCTGTCATCGCGGTCGATCCAGGCGACCCTCGGTGAAAGGGGGGATTGGTTTATTAGGGGATGGGGGCGGTGGTGGTATGAGGGGAAGGGGTCAGGATGAAGTGCAGGATGGGCGATAAGAGATGACAACGATGAGGGGGACGATAGAGATGACGATGAGGGGGCGTTAAGATGGGGCAGAGGCTAGGACGATGAGAGAGACGAGGAGGACCAGGTTTATTTGTTTCTTTTCGGGGTGTCTTCCAGGTCGGACAAATTTTGACATTCTGGCCCCTCATGGGGCTCGGATGGGGTCGTCAGGACGATGAGGAGGACGATAGAGGTGACGACGATGGGGCGATAAGATGGGGCAGAGGCCAGGGTGGCGAGGAAGACGAGGAGGACCAGGTTTATGTTTTCCTTTTCGGGGTGTCTTCCAGGCCTGAGAATTTTGACATCCTGGCCCCTCGCGGGGCTCAGAGGGGCGAGTCGTTGGGGCCCCCTCCCCTTTGAGCCGTTCGGGCCCCTCCCCTCTGAGCCGTTCGGGCCTCTCCCCCTGCATCGTCGTGCGAGTTGTTCGGGCTCAGAGGGGGGGGGGGGGGGGGGGGGTGGGGGGGGGGCGTTTGGCCCCCAAGGGTTTTTGAAAAAAACAAAACAGTTTTTAGAGAACTTATTCTTGTTTCAAAGCCCCTGGGCGGGACCCAAGCGCCCCCCCCCCCCCCTCTGGGCCCCATGAGGGGCCCCTCCCGCAGGTGGTCAGCCCGTCGAGCCTCCGATGGCGACGGCGGCGGCCGCCAAGGGGCGCATCTTCCTGGACCAGCTCGGCGAGGGGGACTACCAGCTGACCGATGTCGTCCTCCAGCAGCGCGTGACGCTCCCGCCTGGGGACTACACGGTGGTCGACCAGGATCCCGAGGGCCTCGATGTGGTCTTGGCTTGCGTGTACCCTGACGGCGAGAGTAACGTTTTGGATGCGGAGTCGGCCTTCAGCATCTCGTTGTTCGAGGCGGACGCCACGAAGGAGCTGTTCGTGATTGACGAGGCTGTCGGACCGTCTTCGCTGAAGTCGTTCTGGGATGTGCAGGCGAAGCACAGGAGCGGCTGCGTGGATGTGCAGATCAACGGGGGCGCCTCGTTCACCTTCGACTGCTTCGTCTTCCAGATGCCTCGTCCTGGGAAGCAGCGCCTCTTCTGGAGCATGCACTCGATCTATGACTTCTTGAAGATGGACGCATTTAAGGGTACGCCTTCGAAGTGGGCTTTTCGCAGCTGCGAGCGTTGGGAGAGGAGGTTCCCGATAGAAGGTGGCGGCCAGATCGTGTACGGCAACTACGTCTCCTCACACACGGTCAAGCGACAGCAGCTCCCGTTCCCCGCCAAGTGTTTGCAGGTGACGTCGGTGAGTACTTTCGGTATTCTCTTCCAGATGGCCAAGTGGGCTTGGAGTGCTTCGCATTACGGCGGCTTCGACATGAAGAGGGAGGTCTCCGCCGAGCAGGTCAAGGCAGCGCAGGGTTTCATGGTGAGCGTGGTTCAGACCGTGCGCATGCACCGCAGGAGTTGGTCTTTCCCGATCTTCTTGGACATCAAGTGGTCAAGCAAGTGGCCTCGCCCCCAGCCTGCCTACCTGGACGACTGCGCGACTTTCAGAGTCGACGATGAGATGACGATTGACCTCCAGGCTTTCTGCTCGAGGGCTCAGACTGCATGGAGCGACACTTTCATTCACAAGGTGTGGAGTATGTGCTTGGCTGGACGGTGCTCTCGCGAGAACTTCTACAAGCTGCCGATGCTGGATCTTATCATGCTGACCGCTCGGCAGTCCTCCCCCGTGGCTGAGTGCTTGCTCGCACAGGTCTGCTTGGCACTGTCGCACCAGCTCCAGCTGGTCATGGCTGCCGATAACAACGGGGGCCACCCCGTCAAGCGCGACGTCGAGTTCAACTTCGACGACCCCTCCGAGGGCTTCGGCGTCGGCGAGGACGTCGACCACGCGTTGGCCAAGTACGTCACCAACGCTGCCCAGCAGATCGGCAAGCCGCGCTGCGTCTCGGTCGCGACGGACAAGGCCTCGGTGGGGAACCTGCCGCTGCAGGTTACTGTCCTGACGCTCCCCTCCAACTTGGCGGTGCTGATGCCTCCTCAGGTGGCTTTGGGGGTCTTCGAAGACCTCGTTTAGGCTCGACCCTCACCCGGTACCGGTGTACAGATCGACGGTGGTTTTTACGTGTGGTTTATACACCACCACCGTTTCTGGCCTTGGGGGGTTGGTGTATAGGGTGAGTGTTTCCCCCAGGTGGATCGGCAATTCGACGACGAGCTACACGAGGATCTCTCCTTCAAGCGGAAGCCCGAGGATGCCGTGGTCACGACGGCGAGCGTGATGGATCGGCAGATGGCCTGGCTCACGCGCGGTGCCCCAGGCGCTAGGCCTGGTGCGTGGCGCCCAGTGAAGCTCCACAGGGTCGCCAGCAGGCGCTGGCTCCAGAACTTGGACAACCAGCTGAACGTGTCCTCCGACTTGCAGGGCCTGAAGGAGTTCAGGCTGGACGACTTGGAGAAAGCTCCGAACTGGAAGAACTGGCGCTGCCTGTCCGTGTCCCTCGACCTCGGTAGCGACGGCGTCTGTGCGACGAACGCCTTGACCTACTTCGAGGAGCTGAAGATCAATATCATGAGGTTCCCCGACCCGTCGCACGGGGCGAACCGCAGCGTCGACCACGCGCTCGCCAAGTCCCAGTTGCGGGGCATGTGGATGCTGATGATGATCTCGTGGAACTTGCCCCATGGCCCAGACCAGGATGACCTTCGCCACCTTCAGCTGCGTGAAGCCATGAACTACTGCTTCACCAGGCTCACGCCTGCCACTTGCCCTTTGTTCCAGGAGCTGGCCCCCTATATGATCCAGGACCTGTCTCGCCTGGGCGAGCATCTCACAGGAGTGGATTCGCCAGAGGTTGAGCTTTGGGAGTACTTGAAGAAGCGCGTCTGGTTGAGCTCCCCTGGGGAGCGCTGCAACACGAACAGGTTCATGTCGGCCGTCTCCGCGGCCAAGAAGAACGTGCCGTCCTGGCACATTGACCTCTTCGAGCGCCTTTTCCTGTGCCTGGAGATGGACTTCTGCAGGGGTAAAAAGTTTTTGGAGCACGTGGTCAAGGTGAAGACTGGCAAGCAGGAGGAGGCGGGCGAGAGCGCTCCGACGGCCGCGAGCGCCATCACCATGGAGGCCAAGACTTTGAGGGGTTGCGCTGCAAACGCCGTCGCAATCTCAGCCCTGATGTTGAGCGACCCCATGAACAGGAAGATCTGTCTCGCAGTTACTGCGCTCTCGGTGCCTGTACGCAACTGGCACATCCACCAGAACAGGATGCTTCGGTCTGCTGCCGCTTCTCCCGACTGGGTCGTGGAGCAGCTCAGGAAAGATAACTTCGAGCACATGTTCCAGATCGCCGCCTGCTTCCACAGCCGCTGTCTTCTTGAGGACCTTGGGTTCTCTTGCCTCGACGGTGCTGGGGCCCTTACCACTGAGGGCCAGATGCTGGACGATGACTACGTCGCAGGTATCTCTTTTGACTTCGGCTGGAATCTGATCTCAGCTCGCATCCGCAGGAACCTATACATGTACGGGTGGCCTTACAAGCTCATCTTGATGACGTGCGACGGCGAGCCTGCCCGTGCTGTGGTTCGGGAGTTCGAGCAAGATAAGCGCATCTTCGACCTTCTGGAGGCTGCTGACAAGGGCTCTGCAATGGAGCAGGTCTACGTCCGCAGCGAGTTCCGCAAGGTGGCGACGATTCAGTTCGTGAAGGCCTTTGAGGAGCTCGGATATGGTCCCCACCCAGAGATCATCAAGCTCATCAAGGATCGCGTCTCAGGTCTCATTAGCACTCAGATCTGCGAGGACTGCATCGGCCAGGCGAAAAACAGCAAGCAGATCATTGGCAACAGGAAGTACAGGCGCCCCGAAGCCAGCATGGGGACGATGCTGAAGAACAAGGTGCTCGACGTCATCCACAAGTTCAAGAGCGCAGTCATGATGATGCCCTTGGCGTCGAAGGGCCTTCGCCTTCCAGACTCGGCCTTCCGCTCCACCAAGGCCAACGCGACCATGGAGTTTACGAAGATCGTCTCCACTCGCCAGGATGCCCCGTACTATTCGCCAGGGCACATCGGCATCAATCAGCCCGTCGCTGACCTGGCCATGCTTCTCCAGATCTACAAGGAGAACCCAGCGGCTCCAGACTTCAACAAGGTTTCCAAGACCTGGATGTCGAGCTTCGCGCAGGTCAGCCACAAGCTCGCGGTGAACCTCCCTAACGACGGCTGGTGCTTGGCGCTTGACTTTTTCCAGAACAGCTGTGCCTTCTTCTGGCCCCTGGAGGCCACGGAGATGCCGAACGGCGACCTGCTGTTCACACCAGAGAACTCGACCCGCGGCCCGACCCTTCGGTCTCTGTTCAACCTCGACGTCGAGGCTTGCACCGTCGTCGTGAAGTCGTGGTCGCGCCAGTGCAGCGACTACCCTGAGGCGTGCGTCGGGATGAACGCGCTGCGCCCCGCGATCCGCATCTTCAAGGATGGGCCCGCGGAGAGCCTCTACAAGGTGGCTGCTCGGAAGGCGTTTTGGGCACTCCCGAAGACCGTCCTTCAGCATGTCGCCTCTGACATGAAGGTCGATGTACCCGCTGGGGCGAAGTTGGTCGACGTCGTCTTCGCCCTCGTCTGCCACGCGCTGGGGGTCACTGAGATGCAGGCTATCCAGATCGTCGCCAACCGCCACGTCGTCAATGATATCCAGGCGTCCTTCTTCCCTGCGCTGCTGGAGGTCGATGAGGCGATCCAGTGCCTGCACTACGACGACCACGAGGAGTTCAAGACCCTGGAGAAGAAAGCAGTCACCATCACCGAGGAAAGGAATATCTTCACCGCCGACTTCAAGGAGAAGGCCGAGGCCGTTCGCGCAGCTGCGCCAAAGGCGAAAGCGAAGGCCAAGGGCAAAGCGGGCGACAAGAAGCCGCCTGTGAAGAGGGATTTCCCGACTGCGTTGACCCAGGCCCAGGCGAAGACATATTTGCCACCAGGTGCTTCGATCTGGCGCGCGGTCGCCAATTTCGCGTGGGCTGGCCACTACCCTCCCTACTCGCGGATCTCCGCTCCGTGGAGCATGGGGGAGCCTGAGGCCATGAAGGACGTCATCCGCCGCTTGTGGATCTTGCATTTGACTTTTACTGGTCAGCCTGAGTCTGCGTGCCCGTACAACAACTTGCTCTAGGCAGGGCTACTGGTGGACAATGCGGGCACACTTCTTTTTTTGCCTCCAGATGCGAAGTGATTCAGCTCTTGCCAGAGCGGTTTCAAGATGATATTGCAGTGGCATGCCGCGTACTATTTCGTTCCACTCGCACGCGCGTGGGCAGAGGGGCCCAGGATGCGCGCAGGCTCGTCGCAAGCGACGGGGAGGCGTTTTCGAAATCAAGTTTTCGAGTCGTGTCCAGGCCGGAGAATCTCAAGATAAACTTGATGGCGATTTCTGTTTTCGAGTCGCGTCCAGGCCGTAGAATTTCCAGTTTTCGAGTCGTGTCCTGGTTTAGCTTATCGCGGGTTTGCTCGACGACGACGGCGACGAGCAAACCCGCGATAAGCTAAACCAGGACACGCGTCAACACGATATGCTTGAGCCGTGGAGTACGGCACGCTTGAACGGGGCAAGCGTTGCCAATGCCAGTCTTATGTGCGGTAGCCTCTGCATTGCTTCCCGATCCCCCTCCATCTTCTTATGATGCCCCTGTCCTTGCCACCTTCCCCACTCCCTCCCACCACTCCTCTGAACCTCAACTCCGTTCCCTCCTATCCCGTCTTGCTCGTCCAATGCCGCTCGAGAAGCGGCGAGCGATTTCTCTCGGCCTTTCCGTTCGGGAGTGCGTTACTTTCAGTGCTCGCTAGCCCAGGTCATCAGCGCAGTGCGCGCGTGCCTGCGGTACGCGCGAGTATTAGACATGCATCGTGTCGACGGCCGCGCGTCGACTCAGGGAGATGCTTTTTCAAGAGCGTGTTCAGTGCTGATTTGTCGGCTGCCTGTGCGTGGTCGGTGGGTTGAGCGAGGGGTGCTCGACGTTGCCTCGCTGTGTACGGCGCCGCCTCGAGGGCAGCATGAATGACAGGCTCGTCGGAGACTCTTGTGTGTAAGATGGCACGTGCATGAACGCACGCACGCACGCACGCACGCGCACACACACTCCAGCACCTTAGCACGCAGACAAAAAACAAAAAAACACATCGCTTGAATTCTTGTGCTTGTTAGGCTGGTCTCCGCCCCTGCGCTGATCATGGGGCGAGCTTCTGGCGGGGTCTCTTGGCAGGGTTGCAGCTGCTAGGGCTGCCAGCGTCTTTGGACGCGACCCTCGCCCGACCTGGCCTCCCGTGCATACGGGCTCAGAGTGATGGCAACTTCTATGTGCCAATGCCCACCGTGTTGGCGTGAAAACACACGCAGACATATATCGGCTACGCCGCGCATCCGCCATAACATATATCGGCTACGCCGTGCATCCGCCATAGCATATATCGGCTACGCCGTGCCTCCGCCACCCCATAACAACAGCATAGCAGCAAAGAGCAACGAGATCAATCACAACAACAACCAATAACACAACATATCAATAACAACAAAAATCAATAACACCGAAAACGCATCATAACAACACGCACGCGCATCACCAACGTCAAACATACACCGAACAGGTAACAACAACATAACGCAACCCATGGTAACATCATCGGGGCACGGGGGAACTACCGAGGAGGAGTTGGAGGTGAGGGGCGCCTCCCCTCCCCCTCCATGCTCCCTCCTCCCTCTCCCCCCCTCCCTCTTCTTCCTCCCTCCCCCGTCCCTCTCCCGTCGCCGCCCTCCGTCCTCTCCCTCCCCTCTCCCTCCCCCTTTCTCCCTTCTATCCTCCTCTCCCCGTTCCCCCATCATCCCTCCTCCTTCGCCTTGCGTCCTGCCCCAGTCCCGCCCTTCACACCCCATTCCATCGTCTCCCTCGCGTGCCTCTCCCCTCGCCCCCGCGCGCCCGCCAGGTGGCGGTGTGCGTGTTCGCGCCGAGAGCTGGATGCTTTACGTTCGGCGCTGCCTCCCGACCTCCGAAGTCGCGTGTTCTTCGCTACCCTCGTCGCCCTCGTCGCCCCCTCGTCGCCCCCTTCTCTTCCGCGCCTGATTACCCTCATCTGGTTCGTCCTCATAATGCCCTTTCCCTCCCCTACCTCCCCTCTCTTCCTGGCCACGACGTCTCGAGGGGGGCTTAGCGCCGTCGCCGATGCCACCAGCGCGATCATGACCAGCGCCACTACCAAGGCGCACCTCTACCACACCTACAACCACAACCTCTACCATTCCATGGCGCGCCATGGCCACACTACCACTACAACCATTACCATTACCAATACCAATACATATACCAAATCAACTGTCACAACCACTACCGCTATCGACAACCACACCGACTGCCACGACCACAACTATGTAGCGCGACCACGATCTTTCGTGCTTGCGCGTGTGATCGCGCCGAGACTACGTGGCGGGAGCGCCGTGAAAATGGCCTCGGACGCCGCGGGAACTCGATCCGAACTCGTCCATGTTATTTTTTTTTGGATTCCTTGAAACGGGGGCGGTGTATAAATCTGGGTCTCCCAGTACCATCGCGGAACAGGTGGCTCGCTGTAATTCTCAGGTCTCCGCATGGCAGCGCATCAAGAATGGCGTTGTTAGGTTCCAGTTGCAGCGAGGCTCTGGGCGTCACTTCTTTATCGCCAACAATGGAAGCTTCAGGGTTCATTGCCTAAAAAGTGTGTCGGGGTGTTTCACAAGACTGTTGAAAGTTTCGTGTTGGTCCTACCCATGTTCCTATACTAGCTCATAGTGAAGTTGGCAAAGCGTCTAGCATCGATGTGTGTATATATATATATATATATATATATATCCGGCTTCGCAGATGACATCTTTCGGAAACGATTCGCACCTCGAGGCATCAGCGCGCAGGACATTATCCAGAACACGGAGGAGAGATGCATCCTGCAGGCAGACAGTTTCTCCCAGAACATGAGCAATAAGGATATTGTACCCCACCTTGGTTCTATTCTAGCTAATCGCCAGCTACAAGACCACTGTCCTGCACGTGCGCGCGACATCTGGGAGCACGGTACACAATGAAGGGATGAGAGTGGGATGGGGTCTGATGGGGCTCCTCTGGCATGAGCGGGGTCTTCGTCATCTTAAGCGGGAGCTCTATTTTAGCACGGTCATGGAGGCGAGCCTAACGCCTAACGAGGCTCGAGGCTTTCGTTCGCATTCCGTTGGGACACGCTCGCATCGACGCGATCATCGCCCGCTATCTCCGCGTTCTGATGAAAAGGCTCGGCGACGAGCTGGGAGGGGCCACGCGCCGCATCGTTGAGCAACGACGAGGTCTTCCGTGAGTGGCGCATCCTGCCGAGCGCAGGCGAGCTAGCGGTCCGACCCGTCCGTTGGGTCCGCGGCGTGGTTCGGCACAGACACGCTCGCGCGCAGACCGTCTCTGCCCCCCCAGGACGTGTCATGCATGAAGAACCCGCCCTCGCACCTTCTGGCGCGCTTGGTAGATCGGCTAATCCTTGGATCGTTGAGTTCACTCACGACCTGGAGTGTTATCGTGTTATTAGTGGCGCAGAAATCTGCTTCGAGGCATGGGGCGATGCAGGGGATTCGTGGAAAGAAATCTTCGCGGAGAATTCGGATGCTGCCCATGAGTTTTTGATGCTTGATCCCAGCATATTACGATCAGCTGTATTTACTGATGAACGGCACTCGGATCGACTGTTTCGTCTTATTCGTCACCATGCACCTCGATCTGGGGATGCATATATTTGCAGGCTTATGGAACCTAGTCAGCAGCGTCGTGGTCTTGGCTCTGCTAGGTTTCAACAATCTCTGGCACAGCAGACTTCTCACCATGGTTCTGCGCCGCCAGGCCCGCCGCTGTCAGGCGCCAGACGCAGCCCCCGGGACTGCGAGTTGCGAGCTAGGTGGCTGGCACCGGACACTGGGTTCTGAGACCGTCGGCGCACGTGGCGCCCGCGTCCCAGGCGGCTTCTCACTTGCTCTGCCCGGGCCGCTCGCTTTTCTCTGCCTCCGCCTTGCTTCTCCCCCTTCTCTCTTGAAGCATCGCACCCCTTCGCGCTCAGCAGCCCCTGTCTGTTGCGTGTCGGCGATCCCGCCGAAGCGGCCCGGCGTTCGCCCAGGGGGGCCTCGCGGTTGCAGGCATGTGGCCACTCAGTGCTGCGTTTTTTTGGGTTTTGTTTTTGATGGTGGCCGATGGGCCGGCGAACGTGCCGAAAGGCGCACGGCCTTGGCTGCTGCGTGCCGTGCTGCGCGAGCCCTGGCGGGTTCGCGCCGACGAGAGCGGCCGCGTGGCCGCGTTGCCGAATCCATCATGTTGTCCTTCTCCCGTTCTCGTCCTTTTTCTCCACCTCCTCTCCCTCCTCTCTCTTCTTGTTTCTTGTGTTTAGTGCGCGCGCGCCTGCGCGTAACTTGTATATTCTGTCCGTTGAGACTGCACGTTATGTGCGGCGGGAGTGGGGATTTTTTGGTGCTTCTCATTTTGGTCTTTGCGGCCGCTCGGGCTCGAGACCTAGGGTTGCCCACCCGCCCCGCGATGCTACCTTGGGCACTTTTTCCGCGTCGGCCGATGGGCCGGCGAGCGTGCCGAAAGGCGCGCGGCCTTGGCTGCTGCGGGCCGTGCTGCGCGAGCCCTGGCGGGCTCGCGCCGAGGAGAGCGGGCGCGTGGCCGCGTTGCCTAAACCATCATATTTGTTCTTCACCCGTCCTCGTCCTCTTCCTCCTCCTCATTATTCTCTCCTTCTTGTGTTTCGTGCGCACGCGCCTGCACGTAACTGGCAGGTTGGTCTTGAACGCTTTTATGCTGGCCATCTCGGCTATGCCTTTCGCCTTGCTGCTCTTGGTAGCCTCCATCGTGGTGACCAGGACTTCACCGCCGCGAGTTAACATAATTCTCGCGCCATGACAATCCAGAAATGCTCCAAAACGCTATCTTTTGTTTCTTTAACGAACAAAAGCACTTGAACCTCCGCAAGTGTGTAAAACGAGCGGCGCTCACGCGAGAGCCACATTTTGAAAAGAACCGTCCTCAATCCGTGACGCTGTTGCAAAGTTTGAAGACGAGTCTGCAGGGCGCTAAGGCGAGAACCTCATTTTGAAAACGACCCGCCCTCAATCTGTGA